CTACGTCATTTCCAAAATGAACTTTTCGCTTTCCGGTGTTTGAACTTACCTGTTTTGAATAATACATGCCAAAAGACCAACGGGGAGAAGTCCAAGCCATTTCTGACCTTAAACTGAAGATCCTGCCTAAATAATGCAAACAGTAATCACCAAAGGTCGACGTGTAGTCACGCAAATTGCCACGCTCATGCATGGGAAGCGCCAAATAGGGCAAAGCTGAGAACATGGTAAATAATACACACACATTACCTATAATGGGGACGTGGTACGAAGTATTATGTGAAGATTAGCAATAGCGACTGAGGGGTAAAATATATATAATGCTAATTCTGGTCACACAAGTAATTCTTTATCTGGAAATATTAATTCAAATACTTAACATTTGTACTTGTTTTCCATCTGCAGACCTCTATACTATCTGCAGACCTCTATACTATCTGCAGATCTATATACTCAGTTCGTTGATACATGCTTGTATTTCGCAACATGGCTGCAATAATGACGATGCGACATTAAATTTTAATTCGACCATGGATATCTAGTATTTATGTTACAGTCAATCTGTCAAACCAGTCATTTTGTCAAATTACTAAAACGATTATTCAAATGACTAGTAATTAGAGTTCTAGTTAGACTGATTGCCAGAACAGTTTTAGTCAATCCATCAAATGCAATGTTTTGTTTTAAAGCTTGTCTCAACAAAGGGGTTGTCACAGGTGCACATGGTTTCTCTTAAACAAACACTCTTTGACATCATACAGCGAGAACACATTGCAACGGGACATGGCGGTCCGTGGACATTCTGGGTGTCATCACCAGTGTGAGTGACAATGGACAGTTTACAATCGCCTTCCCTGCTAGTGTCCTCCTCCTGTGCAACAGCCGGTGTCATTCAATTCTCACTTGTCAAAACAAGTAATGCAAAACACTACACTAAACGCCAAAAGAAACGTTACCCTCCTTCCTTAATGACGGAGATACCTATAACCTATTTTCAACTGGCGTTGTGATGCGTGGAAGTCCACTTCTTGGTCTGTCTACGGTGACCCCAGTCTGCCTGAAGCCCTGGATAAGTCTTATAACCGTGATACGGTGGCATCCGAGGGCGTTGGCAACAGCATTTTATGTCGACCCCATCTGCACCATCCCAATGGCTCTTTCTCTCGCTTCAGCTGTTAATCGTGGCATATTTCTCGTACTTGTGTATCATATCATCTTTTCTAAACTCTCTTCATACCCTATCGAATCATTCTACATGTGAAAAGGATGCATATATTGCTTGAATATTGTTGCGTTTTGGCGACTGATATTGCTATGTGTAAACAGAAAATGGAAAGAAGTTACTTTGCAAGCAAGAATGTTAACAAAGATAATTTTACATGTTCCTAAACATTTTTTCAACTTATCAAAGACACGTTTGACTTGTTTCACTAATGCAAATCAGCAGAAAATGTTTTAGAAGACTGAAGTCATAGGAATGATTATTTTACAATTTTACACACTCTACAACAGTTGTTTCTTGTTTTAATAGTGAAAAATGGTGACTTTAAATGGTTTATCTTTGTCCCAAGCAGAATTTTATTTTAACCTTTCTTTTAGACTTCTAAATCACTGTTATTGGTTTATTTCGGCATGAACGCAAATAGGACAATTTAACTCTTCTGAAAAAGATGCATTTAACCTAGATATGAATGCATTTGAGATTTTTTTTTTGTGATTTGCATAAAGCTGAGTTGTGCTCAGGTTCTCTGACACATCGTATGCCGTCGATCGATGCTCATGCTGTTGATCACTGGATTGTCTAGTCCAGATGCATTTATTTACAGACCGCTATATAGCAGGAATATTGCTGAATGCGACACAACAAACATTATGATATAGGTATGTGTGTATAAACTGTTGTATTCAAAACTAGCCGTGATATATCCATGAATAAATTATTCTACAGTATTTAACTTTCCCCATGATATATCAGTGTGTATACATCGTTGTACTTAAATCTAGTCATGATATATCATGAATATATTCTGTAGTACTTAACTCTTGCCATGTTATACCTGTGTGTGTATATTGTTGTATTTAAACCTAGCCATAATATATCATGAAGATATTCAGTATTACATAACTCTTGCTATGATATACCTCTGTGTGTGTGTGTGTGTGTGTGTATTGTTGTATTTAAATCTTGCCATGTTATATCATGAAGATATTCAGTATTACTTAACTCTTGCTATGATATACCTGTGTGTGTGTGTATTGTTGTATTTAAATCTTGCCATGTTATATCATGAAGATATTCAGTATTACGTAACTCTTGCTATGATATACCTGTGTGTGTGTATTGTTGTATTTAAATCTTGCCATGATATATCATGAAGATATTCAGTATTACGTAACTCTTGCCATGATATACCCGTGTGTGTGTGTATATTGTTGTATTTAAACCTAGCCATGATATATCATGAAGATATTCAGTATTACGTAACTCTTGCCATGATATACCTGTGTGTGTGTATATATATATTGTTGTATTCAAATCAAGCCATGATATATCATGAAGATATTCAGTATTACTTAAATCTAGCCATGCTATACCTGTGAACATAGTTTGCAGTATTGAACTGACACTCTGATATACCAACATATCTACAGTGATGTAGTCTTTCCCCTCCCGACATAGCTCTCCATGTACCCAGTCCCAGGCTTGCACGGCTCAGACAATCGATATATGTTGTCGAGCACCACGTATGCCATGGCGGAGGATGACGACATTCGTTCCCATAGCGATCGGGGTACTGAATTATTCACGGATGTAAGGTATAAGAAGCTTATATCTGGCTTTGTTCAGCGTAACGCCTTATCAAGGCGAATTCAGCAACAGCCTAGATACTCAATGCATCCTAATAACTGCTTGGGGGATTTCGAATTATCTTCTTCAATGAGAAAATATGTGTGGGTTTCGATGTCATTACATTCTATTCTCTGGCGCGTGCACCCGGAGAAACATCATTATAATTTCTTTACATATAATGAGATCTAAGAAATGAATTAACCATTAAATATGGCCGCATAATGACCACTATGCATTGTTCAAATTTGTCACATTTTGACACCCAACATCAGAGAGTTAACCCTGAAATACTGCATCATCTTGACAGTCATACGCATTGATCTACCCTGAAATATCGTGACATTTTCACAACCTTAGACATTGATCTACCCTGAAATATCGTGACATTTTCACAACCTTAGACATTGATCTACCCCTGAAGTACCGTATCTTCTTGACAGCCATACACACTGATCTACCCTAAAATACCGCATCATCTTAATAGCCATACAAATTGATCTACTCTAAAATAATGTATCATCTTGACAGCCATGCACATGGATCTACCCTGAAATACCGATGCATCTGGATGGATTTGGAATGGAAGTATCATGGCAAAATACTATCGAAAGAGGACCACACAGTAATTACCATGACACAATAATGTGGTGCTGAAGAAAACATGCATAAAATAGTCATGAGACGACAACCAATCAATATATGTCAATGCTGATACTAGGCATTGTTAAAAATAATTTATCTTAAACTACTGTCCGAGTCACTGAAATTTTCAAACACTTATTATTCAGTTTGGTTGTCTCAGTCCAAACGTACATGAAACTAAAAGATAGCATTGACCTCTCCTCGTCGTTCCAAACACATTCAGTTTAGTGAGGGTCTCTACGCGGGTTATTATACGGGTGTCTTTCAGGATGGTAAATATCCTCTATTCGGATTACACATTGTATTTAGCAAGCCCAGGTCGAGAGTGAGATGGCATCTTTATCACATATGACGTCGTCGAAAAACGTGCTCTCTAAACGCTCACGAGCAAGTTGTTTCTGGAATGTGGCATGGGATGCCACATTCAGTAATTTGACAAGAGCCAATATAGTTCCAACTGGAACCTGTTTCTTAAACAGGGGTCAAAACATATATTTGTTAAAATATCAATTTCCAACACATTGTTTCCTTTCGCTGCAATCTGTTAGCGGGCCATCTCGAGTTACTGCCCTTTATCAAAGGGAAGCTACTCTAACACTAGTCTTAAACTGGTTCCAGTGTACGCGACGTACAAGTTTATGTAGACAGGAGCTCAGTAAATTCTGTCAGACGTCAAATTTGTCTGCATGACCTCTCATCACCTGTTACGAAGTACGGACCAATATGTGCACACAGCCAAAACGACTAACAAGGTAACTAAGTTATCTTAGTATTTTCTCCCTATTACCGATGGTAATTCTGACAAGGACGACGCCATGTTTGTCTGTAACATTGAAAGTATTACCTATCAGACCTCACTTTTGCTCAGGTATCAGTATATAACTCAATCGGATATCGGAAGTTTTAATATCACAGTTGAGACCGCGTTTTGCGGTAATTTCCTGCGTACCACATTCCTTCATGGGTTTCATCCTGTACTGATCGTAAGATGTAAAGTAAACATAATATTCCATTGTGAAAACATTGTGAAATCATTGTCCAAATAGGACAAACTGTGTAAAGTTTTGTTTCAGAATCAGATTCTGTATATCGTTCTGTAACCGGGATATGGAAATCAAGAGCCTCATGCCACCGGCTGATGGCTGAAGAGATTTAATGTGTCCAGTTTTTGCAAAATATTCATCGTCAGGAATTAATACAAACAATATCACACCGTTGCTCTCATTATATAGTTACACCTGGTCAATCCGGATACTTCGCATCCCAGAAGAACTTGTTACTCCGCACCCGTGATTCATGTACTAAGTATTCAAATATAATTTATTTCGGAAGAACGGGAGAGAATGGATTAACGGCCTAACACTCACAGTGTGAACAGACACATAAGACGGTTGTTATCATCAGTAAATAAGCATCATAGTAAATCTAATATTTGCCTGTTAGTATTTGTGCATCGGGTTTAGTCTTCACAAGAATGTATGGGTTTCATGAATCACAAACAACTAAGTATCGCTAAGGTATTTTATTCACATACATGCGATAGGTTCCTAACAATATTGGGTGGAGAAAGTACGTAACTATACTACAGAGCTTGATATATGTAAAAGCCTATGAATCGTATGTTCCGATCGAAGCCATAGAATATTTGGGGGGTAAACAAAGCTTCTTGGTATTGGACAAATGTCGATTTTTTACATGTAACTCTTTTCACCAACATCAACCTTCCAAATGAACATATTGAATGGGCCCGTGGCACTAAAGTCCATTGTATTTCCCAGGAACCGAGGCACGTCATTTACTGTAAACCAGAGATGACCACTGGTGTCCATAGCAAAGCTGTCAACCCATTTCATGCGCATATCATCCTTTACCACCTGAGTCTGTGTTTTCAGGGTAACATCATCAACAGACGCCGCCATTGCTATGTCCTTAGTGAAATCCCATTTGTACACAGCATTCGAATTCAGCGCTCCATAATACAAACTTTTACTTCCAGCTATCATGCCTCCGGTCTGGGAAACTTTGTTTCCAAGGTTTTTGACAGATCTGCTGATGTCGGCATTTTCATTCGCAAGCACTGACGTGGGAACACGGTAAAGTTTAAATGTGGACAAGGGGCAGTAGTAAAGATACCTGTGGTCGGGGGAGAGGGCAATGCCATTTATCGGTGTATGTGACACAAATTTGGTGTGGTCAAAATCGATTGTAGTAGCTGAGCCCTGCTCGGCTGCCATGCTCTTGTCTGAAAATGTGTACGATTTGTCCTTTCTGAAATCATAGACAACAAGTTTGGATGTTCCAGTATCGCTGATGTAGGCATAAGCAGGCTTTCCTGAAATTTTATGAATCACGATATCGTTCAGGTACGTCCTCATCTTTGGAGCGACGGCTTCGGGAAAAGTATGAACTCGGATAACCTTCTTGGCGTTTATATCGTAGATCACCAACTTGGCAGGACACAAGAACTGCCCCGGGTCGGCGATTATGTGTAAACCAGTGTCAATAATCCACATCCATCCAGATACAGGGTCAATTTCAAAGCTCTGGGCGAACTGGATGGCTGAACAGTCCCCCACTTTCTGCATGTCCCAGCTGGGGAAGGGTTTGAGGATGGCCTCCCCATCTTTCTGTACTACTACATTAACAGTAGATGGAACGCCCTTTTTAGTACGAGGAATCGTCAAGTACACGCTGTCTTTGTAAATCTTTATGCCTGAGATGAGGTTATTTTTTATGATGAAGCTTCCGTTTTTTATGGATGCCTGTTTCAGTGAATTGCTTGGCCAATCAAAGTCTATAGCGCGCCATTTATACTCTATGGCGGAATCTGCAAACCTGCTGCCGAGAACGGCGACCAGGAGGACTGTACATGCCAACATGGTCAAGTCGTATGCTGGACTGTCTCAGTTTGTCACAGTCGGAAGCTATATAGCTGTCGTTGGTGCCATCTGCTGTGCATCCATGTGTTATCTATTAGTTATGCAATGACACAAGCACTTTTCGTTACAATTGTCGACATTTTCTCCAAGCCCTTAAAATGTCTCAAGCTCAGAATTGTAAAGTCATCCAGATAAAATTATGTAGCAAAAAATTTATAATGAATACCAACCTTCACAGGTTAAAATTGTCACAGAGGATGGGCATAACTTTTTAAAACAAGTTAAGTAGTCACGCAAAGTGCTTATTTTGAAAACCCTAAATCAAAGGTGATTTTGAAGCACAGGACCTTATCCTACCACCAACGCTTATGGGTATCGATATACCATCCGACCTGTGGCAGTGACGTCAGAGTACAGACATATACGCAGTTTCATTTAACAATGCGCTAAATCTGCATGACAATGACGTGATTTCCATAATGTTTTTCACTCACTGTGGAACATATGTCATTACATTGTAAAATCTAGATCACTTGATAGTATATAGTCTGTAAATTAATTTATGATGAAAGTCAAGTCACTTTGCATCGGAATCATTTTTCAAATGTACAAAAAGGAAGATCTAGCTGATCTGTTTTTTAAACATACGAGTAAGAGTATCTCCTTTCACACCAGGGCATAAATTTCTACAGAGTCAGGAAACTTGATACGCCGCTGTCTACAACGTCGGAATGAAAATAAAGGGCATGTTGGAGATGAGAGACACAGAAATACTACGGGCAACCTTATGTGTAGCATTAGGGTGTAACAGTAAGTGTAATTTCTTCAGATTTTCAGCGAAACAAATACCGTTTTCCAAGGAGGCAAGATGGGTTACTGCAACATCAGCGAGGAGTCATTGGATGGAATCCGATGGGAGGTCCCGTTTTGTTTCTTGCATTTTGAGGCATAGGACTATGAGAGAGATCCCGACCAACTCCGAACTTGGAAACGAAGGTATGTTCCCTTTGATATTATTCCAGTGTAAATCATTACATTTGGCACAGCGCATGATTTACGTGCTTTCATTTGTTCATGTGTCTGATTTTGGAAGAAAAGCCTTGCTTATAATATTAAAAAACAAGCAGGATGAACCTTTCTGCAGTCACTAGATTTAGGAAAACTCCTGTATGTACTGTATATAACTTCGGATATCATATTAATTTCTTTGAATGTAAACAATAACACGCCACCTGTGGATCATCACTGAATGATTATTTAATTCATATTCTGTCTACATGTTGGATACATGAAACAATCTGGTAGATTTGACAAGTGTGAAAATGGTGTAGAGAAATATTATAAGTAATAAGTATCATAGTATAAAGTACTTTTGAGTGTAATGTTTATACGTTTCATTTCATCAGAATCTTTTATATTGTATTTTGTTTCGTACTAAAATATGGTAGGACATACCGTTATTTGTCAGTGTAATTTATTGTTTAGAAAATCTGCAATTAAATTACTGCACTTTGTTTCTGCTCTTTACTTCAAAACATTCAGTTTTCACAAGAATTAGTTTTGAGAAATGAATTGCTACCTCACATAAGCAGTGGTGTGGACGTTGAAATATTGTTATGCAGTTTTAGTCAAGTGACATCCTGAATCTTCTTTATAAATTAAAGCTATAGACCGATGTCGTAAATCGTCTTAAACAAGGTTTTGAACCCCCGATCATGGATTTACTAGCGTCCTCAATGAACATTGCACTGTAAATTTGGCCACCTCAGGCGACTGTGCAACATTGCCCCTCCTCAGTTTAGGAAGTGATGTCCGCCGCAATATAGTTGGAATATTGGGAGTGCGGCGTAAAACTAAACGCACTCACTACTGGTGATGTCACCAGTTAAAACCTTTCAGCAGCTTTTCACAGAAAGCCCCTTGCAAATGCTTTTTAAAGTGTTTTTCAACAGAGTTCCTGCTCTTCACAGGTTGATGTGAGAGGAAAGTGATATAGGTCTTAGGCGTTAATGACACCCGTGAACACGGGAACAGTGTTGAAAAACCTAGAAAAAGTCGAGGTGAAACAGGAATTGAGACCATGATCACGATCTGCACTGCCAATTCTAGCGCCTTAGACGACTGAACCACCTGTAATCATCAGTATTGCATTATCCACACTAACTACTCTTCAAAAGGATGCATCGTTTTTTCGTTTATAATATTGTTTTTATTAACATATATGCAACAGGTACATAACAGTGAGAAGGGATGGAAAAAGTACAGCATACAAAGCGGAGATATGTGAAAAAGAAGTATGGCCTGAATTGCAAAACTGTTTTCATGGTATAATGACAGCTTGGTGTCAGGTTGATGTCGAAGTTACAAATAATTCTTTTCACCAACATAAATCTTCCAAATGAACATATTAGACGGGGACGTGGCATTAACAAAATCCATTGTATTCTGAAGAAAATTTGGAAGTTTATTTACTGTAAACCAGAGGTAGCCATTAGTATCGAAAGCAAAGCTGTCAACCCATTCCATGTACGTGTCATCCTTTGCTACCTGGGTCTGCGTTTTCAGGGTAACATCGTCAACAGACGCCGCCATTGCCATGTCCTTGGTGAAATCCCATTTGTACACAGCATTCAAACTCAACGCTCCGTAATACAAACTTTTACTTCCAGCTATCATGCCTCCGGTCTGGGAAACTTTGTTTCCAAGGTTTTTGACAGATCTGCTGATGTCGGCATTTTCATTCGCAAGCACTGACGTGGGAACTCGGTAAAGTTTCACTGATGCCAAGGAACAGTAGTAAAGATACCGGAAGTCAGGTGAAAGAGCAATGCCATCTATCGGTATGTGTGTCGTAAATTGTGTGTGGTCAAAATTGATGATAGTCGCCGGACCCTGCTCGTCTAACATGCTCTTGTGTGAAAATGTGTACGATTTGTCCTTTCTGAAATCATAGACAACAAGCTTAGCTGTTCCAGCATCCGTAATGTAGGCATAAGCAGGCTTTCCTGAAACTTTATGAATCACGATATCGTTCAGGAACGTGCGCATCTTTGGAGCGATGGCTTCAGGAAAATGATGAACTCGGATAACTTTGTCGGTGTTTATATCGTAGATAACAAGCTTAGGGGGACACAAGTATTGTCCCGGGTCGGCGATTGAGTTTAAACCAGTGTCAATAATCCACATCCATCCAGTTGCAGGGTCAATCTCAAGACTCTGAGAATACTGAATGGCTGAACAGTCCCCTTGTGTCTGCATGTCCCAGCTGGGGAAGGGTTTGAGGATTGCCTCCCCATGTTTCTCCACTACGACATTAAGAGTAGATGGAACGCCTTTCCTCCAACGAGGAATCGTCACGTACACACTGCCATTATAAATCTTTATGCCTGAGATGAGGTTATTTTGTATGATGAAGCTTCCGTTATTTATTAATTCCTGTCTGACTGAGGTGTTTGGCCAATCAAAGTCCAAGGCATGCCATTTGTACACGATGGCGGAATCCACAAAAACTTTTCCGAGAATGGCAATCAGAAGGATTGTAAATGTTAACATGGTCACAGTCGTAAGCTAGTGAATCTGGGTTAGACACAGTCTTGAGCTAGAGAGTTTGCTGTCTTATCTGTAAGTTGTTCAATAATATGCTGACACACACTTTTCAGTACCATTGTCGAAACATTGCTTTATCTCTAAGAGCATGAGAATTAACATTATGTTGCCTCTAGTTTAAATGCTATAGTCATCGTGATAAGATTGTGTATCTATTCAAAATACAGAAAAAACAATATGAAATTGAGACCGAGACAGGTGAGAATTGAGGATTGGCAAAACGTTCACAAAGTTTAATTCCGCTGACAATAAAACAAACAAAATTCCGATGTTAACTGGTTCTCGGGTTCAATTCCTAATTACCCATTACTTTAGATGGTTTGTCTGAACCATATGTGTAGATTCAAACAAAGTGATAAATGTCTACGACCTTCGTCATTTGGGGAATCCTCCCAAACAAAGCTGACACAACCTAATGTAAACTGGGAAGACCCCGCAAACAAAGCTGACACAAGCTAATGTGAATTGGAAAGAATCCTTAAGCCAAACTCGCTATAAAGAAAGAGAAAAACAACTAAAAGAGATTGTTACCCTCGTCGTTGTATGACCTTCCACAATAATCCAAACCAATTTTGTCAGTTCTCTCATAAACAATTAAACCGTTAATTGTACACACAGTATACTCCTCAGAACATTTATGTATGATAACGTCAAATGCTACCTCTGATACAGTCAGTGAGGAGGAGAACCAGGGGTGTTATATGAGCTGGCGGAGGTTGCACGAGATATTGACATTGTGCTAGGTCATTGATACTTATGTTATTTCTCGACTGTATGCCAGAATTTTCAAAATGATCGCACATATTAACCTGAGGCGAACTCATCAGCACTGGAAAATGAATCCATTTTTGCCATGTCTACATCTCTGAATAAACTTTTTGCGTTTATATTTGCTTTTGAAGTACTACTTGGGGTTCAGTTAATCCTGATATTAAGTTAAATTGAGGTTTGACATTTTCATTTATTAACGATAATATACTGATACCATGAAAAATAGGGGGTGTTCCGATACTTTTTTCCATGAGTATATCGATGTAGAAAAAATCAATTTCATTCTTCGTTCACATTCTTCGTTCTATTTTAGTATACAAACGTTCAACGGGGACACTATTTTAATGTAACATGACGTATAAATTGACAAATTGAGCAACACAAATAATGACAGAAAGGAGTCCGCCAAAGCCGGTTTTATTACAATGATGTATGTATTGCTACATCCACATGTATACAATACAAAGATTCACTTGGTTCCAAGGTAACCATTTTCGCCCAAATACAGTTTCCATACAAACATGTTAGGGCTGGAGATGTTCATCTTTTCAATTAAGAAGCTTCCTGCATTATCAGCTGTGAACCAGAGTGAACCTTCATTGTCGAAAGCTAAGGTGTCCACCCATTTCATCCGCTGATCATCATGAGCAACAAGAACCTGAGTGGTCAAAGTTATGTCATCCGGTCCGGCTGCCATGTTTTGGTCCTTCATGAAATCCCACTGGTACACACCGTTTGAACTAAGAGCACCGTAATACATAAATTTCTTCCCAAATGCTATACCATCAGACTGAGATTTCTTCACTCCGACCTTACGAACAGATTGCTTGAATAACCCCTTCGGATTGGAGAGAATGGTTGTAGGTATTCGGTACAAGCTAGTACCTGCTAGAGATGAGTAATACACGTACCTGAAGTCTGGCGACATGGCAATACCATTTATTGGGAATGTCTCTGGGTAGGATCTGTTGCCGATATGAACAACAGAAGATGGTGGAGATTCTGCTAACATGCTGCTGTCAGCAAAAGTGAACGATTTGTCAGACCGGAAGTCGTAGGTCACTATATGTGCTGGTCCACTATCACTGATGTACGCAAGGACAGCTTTACCACCCACTCTGTGGAGGACGATGTCATTCAGGAAGGAAGACCTGGATGCAACATGATCAGGGAAAACATGGGTTCTGACTATACGTTTACGGTTGATGTCGTAGATGATGAGTTTAGGAGGGCAGATTGTCTCAGTGGGATCAGCCATTAATCCAATTCCTGTATCTATGATCCACATCCATCCCGTCAAGGGGTCGATCTCCATGCTCTGGGAGAACTGGATGGCGGAGCAGTCCCCAATAGTCTGCATCGACCAGCTGGGGAAGGGTCTAAGTATTGCCTTCCCGTCTTTCTCAATGATGACATTCAGCGTTGATGCAACACCTTTCTTCAGTCTAGGAACTGTGATGTACACGCTTCCATTGTATACCTTGATCCCGCTGGCCATGTTACTTTCGGGAACGAAGCTGCCATTCTTGATAAACTCCTGTTTAATGCTGTCACTCGGCCATTCAAAGTCTAATGATTTCCATTGATACTCCAGAGACAACTGTCCAACTTTTTGACTGATAGTGGTTACAAGGCACAGACCAAGGATTACCAAGCTGAACATTGTACACGTAGACATTGTCTATGAAACCGTTGTCAGGTCCTGCATTTTAATGCTGTGATAAATCACACTAAATGTGTCATGACTTGGCATGTTCCCAATGTATTATATCTCTTTTAGGCATTAACTGTTAAAGTTCCGTTTAGGAGTACATGGGTGAGTTTGGTTTCACACTATTTCAGTTTTATCATGGTGTGAAGTGATAAGGTCTCTGACGTTTAACACATCGGTTAAACAGATAAGCTTGTGTGTTGTCTGATACACATAAAAACACCGTCGATACAAAGTGAGTTTTGAACTCGAGATCACAGGTTAACTGGCCTGCCCAAAGAACCATGTTTATGCATTGTGAAGTGTGGTGCCTTAGGCGAGGGGGCAATCAGTGCCCCTTTCTCCTCGTAGAAACTGATGTCACAAGCTCAACTGTATCAACAGCTTTTAATATAATTTCTCATGCTTTTCAAATCAACCAAAATGGGTGAGAGAGTTTGGAGTTCTCCATTTTGTACGTATTCCAGAAACATCAACTAGTGTCAACTTTATGTGAAGGAAAGCTTGAAGTAGTGCATGTGTTATGCTGTCGACAGTTTGGTGGTGGAAGCGTTATGGTATGTTGAAGCATCGCATCTCGTGGTTGGACACAACTTGTCATTGTCAATGGCAATCTGACAGTTCTGCGATACAGGGATGATATCACTAGGCCTCGTGTAGTTGTTCATTCAAGGACAGGGACGTAACTTCACGCTTCAGCAAGATAATGCCCGTCCACATGTCGCTCGTGTTGTGACAGATTACCTGAGACAGCAGAATAAACCCGTACGGCCCTGGTCAGCAGTTTCCCTGGACCTATCCCTTATCGAGCACACTTGGGATGAAATGGAGAAACGTTTACGTCAAGCCCAGAATCAGCCATTGACGTTAGCTGAATTGGGACAAGCGTTAGTTCACATACATGGAACATTCCCCAAGATTTCTTCAATCACTTAGTGTCGTCAATGCGTCGTCATTGCAAGCTTGCATCAACGACACCGGTTGACATAAACGATATTGAATTTATGAACTGACCTTTGACACCACACCTCTTCAAGGGCGTGAAACGATGCCTAGTGTCAAACCATACAGATTTCGACATTATCCTGTCCACAGTTAAACAATGGTTAAGGAAAACGCCATAACATGGCTAAGCATCAAATAATGCACAGTTACTTTATTCCAGTAGTTTATATAGTCCACTTGAATATGATAGTTTCATGCAATTTTAGTATAGAAACGTTCAGGTGGGAAGGTATATGACTGTAATATCACTTATATGATGACAAATTGAGCTAAAGAAATAATGACAGAAAGGAGTCCGTCAAAGCTACTTTTATTGCAATGAGTATGCACTGCTACATCCACAGGTATACAATACCAAGTTTCATTTGATTCCCAGATACCCATTTTCGCCCAAATACAGTTTCCATATGAACATGTTAGTTCTGGAGATGTTCATCTTTTCAATTAAGAAGCTTCCTGCATTATTAGCTGTGAACCAGAGTGAACCTTTGTTGTCGAAAGCTAAGGAGTCCACCCATTTCATCCGCTGGTCATCATGAGCAACAAGAACCTGAGTGGTCAAAGTTATGTCATCCGGTCCAGCCGCCATGTTTTGGTCCTTCATGAAATCCCACTGGTACACACCATTTGAACTAAGAGCACCGTAATACATAAATTTCTTCCCAAATGCCATACCATCAGACTGAGATTTCTTCACTCCGACCTTACGAACAGATTGCCTGAATAACCCCTTCGGATTGGAGAGAATGGTTGTAGGTATTCGGTACAAGCTAGTACCTGCTACAGGAGAGTAATACACGTACCTGAAGTCTGGCGACATGGCAATACCATTTATTGGGATTGTTTCTGGGTAGGACTTATTACCGATATGAACAACAGAAGATGGTGGAGATTCTGCTAACATACTGCGGTCAGCGAAACTGAACGATTTGTCAGACCGGAAGTCGTAAGCCACTATATGTGCTCGTCTACTATCACTGATGTACGCAAGGACAGCTTTACCACCCACTCTGTGGAGGACGATGTCGTTCAGGAGGGAAGATCTGGATGCAACATGATCAGGGAAAAGATGGGTTCGGACTATTCGTCTATGATTGATGTCGTAGATGATGAGTTTAGGAGGGCAGATCGTCTCTGAAAAGTCAGCGATTAGTCCAATTCCTGTGTCAATGATCCACATCCATCCCGTCAAGGGGTCGATCTCCATGCTATGAGAGTACTGGATGGCGTGACAGTCCCCAATAGTCTGCATCGACCAGCTGGGGAAGGGTCTGAGGATTGCCTTCCTGTGTTTGTGAATGATGACATTCAGCGTTGATGGAACACCTTTCTTGAGTCTTGGAACTGTGACGTACAGGCGTCCATGGTACGCCTTGATCCGGCTGGGGATGTTACTTTCGGGAATGAAGCTGCCATTCTTGATAAACTCCTGTTTAACCCTGTGGCTGGGCCATTCAAAGTCTAATGATTTCCATTGATACACCAGTGACAAGTGTCCAACGTTTCGACTGTAAACGTTTACAAGGCACAGACCAAGGATTACCAAGCTGACCATTGTACATGTAGGCAGGGACAGACAATGTCTATGAAGCCGTTATCAGCTCCTGTGTTGTAACAGATCACGGGAAACGTGTCATCTCTTGATATGTTTAGGCATTGACTGTTAAATTTCCGTTTAGGAGTACATGGGTGAGTTTGGTTTCACACTATTTCAGTTTTATCATGGTGCGAAGTGATAAGGTCTCTAACGTTCACCACATGGGTTAATCAGATGAGATCGATTGTGGTGCTGACCTCGAGATCACAGGTTAACTGGCCTGCCCAAGGAACCATATTTATGCACTGTGAAGTGTGGTGCCTGAGGCGAAGATAAAGATAAGACATGCATATTTGTAAGTTTTTAAAAAACCTGGTACGTGTCAGGTTCATGATAAATCCTTTATATACTGAACCACAAAAGAAATGTCGCACCGATGGCAGTTTCTTAAAGCACACACTGTAACTCACTCTAATTAACAATCAAATGAATTGAATAAAAAACAAATTAAAAAAAAAACAATCAAAACGAGAATTGAGTCCAAACTTGACAATTATGGTTACCACATTTTCGGGAATCACATTTAGAGTTCACACAAACAAAATGACCAAAAATGGTACCATTAAGAGACCTCAAAGTCAGTATTGTGTGTGGCCTCTATGGGCATCGATGAAAGCGTTGCATCGTCTGTACATGGAATGAATTAGCCGGTTGATGAAGGCCATAGGCACTTGGGTCCATACTCTGTGAAAAGCCTGATCGAGTCCAGCAGCAGTTGTCGGCCTTGGGTGGAGGTCATTCAGTCTTCTTTGAATCTCGTCCCAAAGGTGTTCTATTGGACTCAAATCAAGACTGAGTGGAGGCTATTGTAGGGTTTGGATGCCATGTTGTCTTAGGAAGTCCAATGTTACTCTGGCAGTGTGGGCACGAGCTTTGTCTTGCTGGAAGATGTGATTTCAGTAATGTCCAAAATGTGGTACAACGCGGGCTCTTATGACTTGGTCAATATAGCGAGCAGCTGTCACGTCATTTCCTCATCCTGGACCGAGATTCTGGAACACTACAGTGTCAACTATCTGGTTCAGACCTATTGCATCCCACACCATGATGCTTGGGACCACCCCATGAGTCTCTTTCAACAATACTCTATTGGAAAACAGTTCCCCACTCCTTCACCATACTCTCACTCTGCCATCGACTGTCGAAACACAGTATCGGCTTTCATGAGATAAAAGCACAGTTCTCCATTGTCGATAACGCAAATTTTGATGCTGAGTTGCCCATTGCAGTCGGTTTGGGCGATGATGAGCGGTGAGGACAGGACTACGATATGGTCTGTGACAGCAGAGATTTCTTCCGCGCAAACGTCGATGCACTGTATCGGCATTGATGGGTCTGTTGTGAGTCCCAATGGTCTGGCGTGCTGTTTCCGTCTCTCTGGGGAAGCGATCCTGGAGATGGTGTCGGCCTTGACGTCGTGATGTTACTAAAGGTCGCCCACTGCGTGGACGGTCTTGGATGTTGTTAGTGACCTGATACCGCTCCTGCAGTCGGTAGACTGTCCTAGCATGAACATTAAAATGATTGGCTACCCTCCGTGCAGTCTGGCCAACTTGCAATCGTCCCAAGACTTGGTTCCTCTGATCTCTCGTAAGTCGTTCCATGGCGATTGTGTCAAAACAAAAACGATTTCAGGCGAGTTTGGGACTCGCTTTCATTGGTAGGGTTGTTACTATATGCACGTGCATTTTCATTTTCACGAATGTCATACGGAACCTTTTACCACGTCTGCCATTTTAGGTGCGCTTGTTCGATATGCTTTTTCATCGGAAAACACACTGATGTTGGTACTTTGAATTGAAAAACATGTAAATAAAACGATACAATCATGATAAAAACACCATTTTGTATGAACAAAATCTTGCATTTGGTTTTGAAATGCGACGTTTCTTTTGTGGTTCAGTATATATAATTCATCAACATACATCCTCCGTGTAAAATTCTTATTCGGAAAAGTGGCTTTTACAAAATCTATGGTATTCTGAAGAACTCCAGGAAGTATATCTACTGTGAACCAGTGGTAGCCATATGTGTCAAATGCAAGTTGTTAACCCAGTTGGTTTATACCGGGACTGTCGACAACAACATATAATCCGTCCAAATTACTTGTCGACAGTCCGGGGAAAGGGAAATGATGTTCTACATGAGTGACTTCACGCCCAGTGTTCTCGAAATTAACAAACCAATTAAGAACAGAGTGCGATATATATAGAAGACAATATATTTATTTACTCAATATAACAATATGTATGTATATGTCACACAATATGTGTGTGTGTGTGTGTGTGTGTGTGTGTGTGTGTGTGTGTGTGTGTGTGTGTGTGTGTGTGTGTGTGTGTGTGTGTGAATAAGTGATTTCTACAGGTGTATAAGCAATAAATATTTAAAAGATAAGTCCAGATATTTTTTCTTGCCAAAACTCCTTTATATCTGCACTAAAGTAATCTGTAATGTTCAGCCAAGATGAAGCAACTCTGACACATGACACATATTTTGTAAGCTATGTTTCTTTCCGGTATTTTTTTTGGCATGTTAAACTTCAAAATGGTAATCCTTCCACTCGCATAACGTAAAATAATAGTCTGTTTGCAACCTTAATTCTCTTAGAAATTGTTAAAAAGACATTCTCTATAATTAACTGAATTCATTTACTCATGAAACCATAGCCACCATAGCCACTTGCAAATCACTGAGCAAACATTCTCTTTCATTAATTAATTCCGTCACGGTATGTTGACCACGCGATGTCGACACTCCGGGGTTTTTTTCTGTCGACGGTTTGTCAACAGATCGGGCTGACATCACCCAGTTCCTGTACGTGTCATCATTTGCCACCAGAAGAGTAACATCGTCCACAGATGCTACCATGCCTTTGTTTGTAGTCAGCATTCAAACCAAATGCTGCATATAAAAAGAATGTTTACTTCCATCCATCCTGTCTCCGGTCTGGGAAGGTTTGTTTCAGTTCTCTCGCCAATTTTTTCACAAGCTCTGGCCTGGGAACACAAAAAAAGTTTCATTGAAGCCAGAGAGCTGTAGTGAGGAAACTGGAGGTCAGGTGAAAGAACAATGTCATGTATCGGAGTATGTGTCTTAAATTGTGTGCGGTCATAACTGATGACAGTTGGGGTGGCGTGCTCATCTAATAAGATCCTGTCTGTATGTGTGTACACTTTGTCCGTGATTACACAATGCCATTTAGAAAGTGGTCAAATGTAACATGTTATATTTGGGATTACACTGTCTTAGTGGAAGTCGCCATGGCTGAGCGGGTTAGGCGGCTGATTTTGTGTGCTGGCGATTAGGTGCTTAACTCTGGGGGTGTGGGTTCGAATCCCGCATGGGACTCGACCCAACAAAAGTACTAGAAGCTTTACTTTACTAAGAAAGTGCAATCCCAAATATAAAATACGTTACAATTTGTCCATTCTGAAATCAGAATAAACAAGTCTCGCTGTTCCTGCATCCGTAATGTAAGCATAAGCAGGCTTTCCTGAAACTTTATGAACCACTATGTCGTTCTGGTACGTATGCATCTGTGGAGTGATATGGAGCTTCATGAAAATAATGAAATGGGATAACCCTGTCTGTGTTTATATCATTTATTCCCAGCTTCAAGGTACACACGTACTGTCCCGGCGGGCGACTCAGTTGAAGTCAGTATCAATAACAACTCATGAAGTTGAATTAAAAATTCTTGAGATTGCTGGTGCCGTTCAGGGATTGAAACAAATTTGCTACTCCATCTATTTGCCGGACAAGAGAGTCAAGAGATCATCCTCCGACTCTGCGAGCAAATGCTCTGTGCACGACACAAAGGAGGCAGTCTACCCTCCCTGACAGACCCAGGGCGGTAAGTGACGTTTTTTTTTTTATAAGAAATAGATGAGTTACATCCTTCATTTGCCGATTGTAAGATAGACACATTAAGCGGAAATGCTACTGCTGTAATATCACGTATGCAGTCCAGCACTGCTGTGTCGAAGTTCGAAGTAAAAGCTGTATCTTCCACATTTCAGCATGATTTTGTGGTTGTGTCAAAAATGGGACAACTTGGTGTATTTACACAGGTCTCTTCAACTTCGAGACAGGTTTTGACTGTTAGTGTGTCAACAAACTGAACTGCACAAATAATGATACAAATGACCCCCCCAAAGCTACTTTATTGCAATGATGTATGTATTACTACATCCACAATTTTACCAATTGCAGTATAGAAACGTTCAACTGGGAAGGCAATATCACGTATATAATGACAAACTGAGCTAAAGAAATAATGAGAGAAAGGAGTCCGTCAAAGCTAATTTTATTGCAATAAGTATGCACTGCTACATCCACAGGTATACAATACAAAGATTCACTTGGTTCCCAGGTACCCATTGTCGCCCAAATACAGTTTCCATATGAACATGTTAGGTCTCGAGAAGTTCATCGTTTGACCCATGAAGCTTACCAGATCATTCACTGTGAACCAGAGTGAACCTTCATTGTCGAAAGCTAAGGTGTCCACCCATTTCATTCGCTGGTCATCATGAGCAACAAGAACCTGAGTGGTCAAAGTTATGTCATCCGGTCCGGCTGCCATGTTCTCATCATTCATGAAATCCCACTGGTACACGCCATTTGAACTAAGAGCACTGTAATACATGAACTGCTTCCCAAATGCCATACCATCAGACTGAGACTTCTTCACTCCGACTTTTTTAACAGATTGCTTGAATAACGCCTTAGGATTGGAGAGAACGGTTGTAGGTATTCGGTACAAGCTGGTACCTGCTACAGGAGAGTAATACACGTACCTGAAGTCTGGCGACATGGCAATACCATCTATCGGGGTTGTTTGTGGGTAGGACTTGTTGCCGATATGAACAACAGAAGATGGTGGAGATTCTGCTAACATGCTGCTGTCAGCAAAACTGAACGATTTGTCAGACCGGAAGTCGTAGGTCACTATATGTGCCAGTCTACTATCACTGATGTACGCAAGGACAGCTTTACCACCCGATCTGTGGAGGACGATGTCATTCAGGAAGGAAGACCTGGATGCAACATGATCAGGGAAAAGATGGGTTCGGACTATTCGTCTATGATTGATGTCGTAGATGATGAGTTTAGGAGGGCAGATCGTCTCTGCGGAGTCAGCGATTACACCAATTCCTGTGTCTATGATCCACATCCATCCCGTCAAGGGGTCGATCTCCATGCTCTGGGAGTATTGGATGGCGGAGCAGTCCCCAATAGTCTGCATCGACCAGCTGGGGAAGGGTCGGAGGATTGGCTTTCCGTCTTTCTCAATGATGACATTCAGCGTTGATGCAACACCTTTCTTCCATCTGGGAACTGTGACGTACACGCTTCCATTGTACACCTTGATCCCGGTAATGATGTTATTTTCGAGAACGAAGCTGCCATTCTTGATAAACTCCTGTTTAATGCTGTCACTCGGCCATTCATACTCTATTGAATCCAATTGATACTCAAGTGTCAAGTGTCCAACGTTTTGACCGAAAGTGTCTACAAGGCACAGACCAAGGGTTACCAAGCTGAACATTGTGCGTACAGACATTGCCACACAGTGACTTGCGTTTACGAAGCCGTTATCAGCTCGTGTGTTGTAGATCAATGATAGCTCACGGGAAACGTGGTATGTTTAGACATGTTTACCAGAGTATTATATCTCATACGCCATTGTCTGGCTATTGACGTTAAGTTTAAATAATATCTCCGAAGAATTCAAGCTCATACTGACTGAGTTTGGTTTTACGCCGCTTTTAGCAATAATCAAGCTCATAAACAATACCCTGTTATGATATATGCGATCTCAGACAGCACATGCAAGCAGTGGTATGCAAGATTTACCATGTTTAATTAAACACGTTTGTGAGCAGACACATATTGTATTCTTGGTACCAAACGCTCAACATGTCATCGTCAAAATCCAGCCACCACTCTCACTCATGAGTAGAACACCAGTCGAGATGGCGTTGGTCGATTGAGGAGCATGGCACGACGAATTCGTGAATGCCTTGTCAACAGAGGTGGTTTTACCTCACATGAGTAATGTTGGCCGCACAATTTGACTCCGTCCTCTTTAACTACCTAATGGGCCAGCATCCCCTCACACCAGTATAACCCACTCGATCAGTGATCGCCTTCCATCCAACAGATATGGTGATAGCACATCAATAACTGATGTGCTGTTACCATATCTGTTGGATGGAAAGCGTTGCATCGTCTGTACATGGAATGAATTAGCCGGTTGATGAAGGCCATAGGCACTTGGGTCCATACTCTGTGAAAAGCCTGATCGAGTCCAGCAGCAGTTGTCGGTCTTAGGTGGAGGTCATTCAGTCTTCTTTGAATCTCGTCCCAAAGGTGTTCTATTGGAAATTATTTGTAAACAACATATGGACATGAAAATATATTTCGATAATACCCACTATCCCCTACGTATTTTAGCATAGCATATATATATATATATAATTTGTTGTTTAAGCTACGCTAAAGAGTGAGTGGGCTCGTTGTAACAGTATTCCTGTTACAAGGAGTGTAAGCTCAGTGTGGGAGAAAAGCTCACAGTAATTTAGGTAACGGGCGGTAACCGCTTCGGTGAAACGCACGTGTGATGTTTGAGAAACCTGAAATCGGACGCACAATCACTGGGATCCGGCGTGCGCTAGTGACAACAATGTTTTGCGCCGCTTTTAGCAATATTCAAGCAATATCACGGCGGGGTACACCAGAAATGGGTTTCACACACTGTACCCATGTAGGAGAATGGAGCCCGGGTCTTCGGCGATCACGTTTTATCACGTTGTTTCAGCTTGGTGTTGGAGGAGAGTTAGATGTGATGTAGGTCTTAAACATCTTCGGTGAAACACACGTGCACCTATATGACAACAACAAACGTAAAAACAGATCGCAATAATTCTCAGCCTTTTGAAATCCGACGCGATTTCCTGCATCACTATTGTACACACAACCATGAAACCAAACATTTGTCAGACATCGTTTTTTCATTTACCATGACATGGAGTCAGAAACCAGAGGTGTGGTGCAGGGGTGCGGACCCCAACTTTTGTCCTGAAAATTTATTAATGACCTTTGAAACTGTCGTTAAATAGGGTGAAAATGAACTGTGCGCCCTCCTTCCTAAAAAAAGCTGTATCCGACCCTGGAAACGATGTAATTTCTTGGATTTGCCGCTTACTTATACATTTTTTGTACATACATAATTTACCCTTTAACAAAGGAATGGCTCATTTGGATAAGGAGGCGCATTTAGCCATGAGAGTGGACGATAGAAGAGAATCTTGTACTGAATTGCGTTCATAATTCTAAATGAACACTGACATTTTCATTACTGATTAATATAATGGTCTTTTGTCCAAAACAACCCTAACACTAAAAGGTATGCAACAACACACACGTTCCTAAATGAGAACACTGAAATATTCAAGAATCTATATGTCTCATCACATGACTGTGTATAGGTCATGTCTAACGACAAAAATACATTTCTATTCATGGCAAATCTCTACTAAAAGCAGAGTCCATTCCTGCATTTGGTTGGGATATCTTTTCTAACGTTACTTGTCTATTCTGAGGTATGATTTCATACACCCTCCGGTTGCTATTGAGGTTAGTTGGGTGATATTCATATGAGGGACAGGGGAAAACAGTTAGCAAAAGATCTACTAGAAATACACAGCAAATATAGATTAATATATAATGTATAACTTGTGGTTAACATAAGGAACATAAAAAAAATATTTTTGTTATAGGTAGATTCTATTTTTGTCTTTGGATTTTATCGGAGAAATAAATATTTAAAACTTTCATTGACAAAATTTTAAAACATACTTTAAAACATATCTGGCCAATTCTCTCATTGAAGGAGTTCAATACAAATGTTTTCACATTTCAATGAAGAAAGCAACACATACTTAATCAAAACAGTTTATTCTAACTTTGAATATTATCTTAACAGGAAATTGAATGAAACATAATTTTCAACAAATACACCAATTGTATAATTACGATCCAACTCTTAACTATTTGGTTAACAATGATACATATCACGTTCTGTCCGAGGTGAACAAGAATACATTTATAAGTAACCTTTATAGACTGCAACACATTCTCTGATTCCACAGATAAAACAACAACTGTGAATGGTGGAATTTTAGAACTGATTGTGTGGCATTCAGTAACACATCAGCTTTGAATACACAGAAGTTTATTCGTTTCAACTGTGGGAAACAGGTCCTTTCTTCTTTCAAATAATTAAAAGTAATTTTTATAACCAGAATATTTAATTCCCAACACATCTCTAAGCGATCAAAAATTGAAATTCATGTTATATAACATGTGATAATGGTAGATGATAAGAGTCTCTACTGCTCTGCCCAGTATGATAGTTGAATTACAGCATGTCAACTTAATGTTGGAGTGAGTATGGTGTTATGACACTTTTACAGCTTTAAAACATTGTACCCATGTGGGAAACGAACCTTGGTCTTTGACATGACGAGCAAAAGATTAAACCACTTGGCAAATCCACCGACCCTTAATGTATGAAGTGATGGAGTTCTTCGATGTTCAGCACTTCAGTGAAACCTGTGTGCATCCATACAATGCTTATAAAACTAGGGATTATAAATGTTAAATCTGTGATTTCTACCCATATCCTGCACACACAAAGGGACAAAACTCTGCAGAATATTAGAAGGTAAAGACTTGAGATGAAATACAAGAAATATATAGCATTTGTTTGGCTTATATCAATCATACAAAATAAATTTGATAAAGACGTGTTTGGATATCACAGTATGTTCTGCTGAGGTTTTTTGTTTTAAATATATCAGATATGATACATGGGGACTGGAAATGTTATGTGCATAGAACAAACAACATAACACTGCTGATGATGAACTGGTTGAGTGAGTGAATATGGTTTTAGCCATTGGCAATACTTGTGCCACGTCAGAGGACACCAGAAATGGGGCATAACATATTGACACCATGTGGAAATCGAACCTGGACCTTCATGACACATTAATACTTCAACCACGAGGCTCCCTTACTGTTCCATAGATGATAGAAGAGCCATTTGTGTACATTTTTGTGGATTTATAAATAGGACTGATAGGTTGGTCAATAATCTACACTGACCCTGTACTGTAGATATTGAACCAACCTTTGGAGCACCATTTGATTGAAAGTAAGATTTTTCACATGAATCGTTTGTTTAGAAATATGACAAAAATCAATAGTTGAAAATATGCAAACGTCATTTGTTGAGTATAACAGTAAAAATCAATAGATGAGTGATTTTGCTCATTGGATGAATAGTTTCTAAGATACAGATTATTATTAAAAGACCTTGCCCCAATTCTCATCTCCAACCTCATAAATTAAATGGATGCTATCTTAATGGAAAACATTTGTGATCCACCGACAAAAGCAAACTGAAAAAGTCTTTATATTGTTATCTGGAGGCATTTAAAACATGAAGAGGATTTGGTTTTGCATGAGAAGTTTAACATTTCAGAGGATGTGGAGATATAGGTTCTGCTATACTGCCACCTTGTATTAAAGCCATTGGAAAACAAGTGAACACTGAATGTTTAATGGAAACAGATAAGGCCAATGAATGAAAAACTAACATCAAATATTAACCTAATCTATGAAAATACATATCTACTGAAAACATACTTTTAGAGAAATATTGGAAATATTTTCTGAGAATAGTCTAATCTATGGTTGATGTTTAGACCAGACCAATTTTATTTGTTGTTTTACAGATTTTTGTCTTCAGAAAACCTAAAGGCAGGAAGGGAAAAAATATATAAAATCAAAGTAATATTCCTTTCATATACTACAGGTATTTTACTTTATGCAGTGTATATTGGCAAAAAACAACCTATAAAAATTGTCTTGTAAGTTTACATTTTTGGCCAATAAAAACATTACGATTATATTTTTTGAGCAGGAAAATTAATTTTGATATTTTTTCTTATTCTTGAAAAGATATGATCGTCGCGGATCCGTAAAACAAGAAATAAAACTGGTCTGGCCTTATGACATAACATGTATGACATATAGTATAATGCAAAGAAACTACATTGTTTCTGGAGGCTCAGGAATCTACTTCTATCTTTAAAATTTGATTGTCTTGCTATAGGAATACAAAATAAGAACAAAAGGTTATTTGCTCTCAATGCCATTCTTGAAAATTCTTGCACAAACACACATGACTATTGCAGTATAACTTATGGTATAAATAACCTATTTTTTATAGCACACTGATATAATCTCTAAGTATAAATAGTTAATGAAGTTCCCAGATAGAAAACTCTGGAGATAACACTTACAAAAGCAGATACAACTGTTCAAATATATTTGAAGAAAAAGGAATGTTCTCTGAAATTCAGATGACTTGCCTTCTCACGATTTATTACCAAGCTGAAGCTGAAAAATGATAACATCAAATCAAACCCCCATTTTGAAATATCACACATTTATGAATAATACATGTGTTTTCCTTAACATGATAAATATAAACTAAAACACAAACAGTTTGATGATGGTATAAAAGTCTTTGGCCTTAAAATATAAAACAGCATTATATGGGCATGTTTTTCTTGTTTCATGGAAAAATGATTATTGAGGGAAATGTAACCCATTGAATACAACATGAGCAGCCATAAAATGTCCCCTAAAATGTTCCCTAAAGTCCTAATCTGAGTATAGGTGAAGAGAGAATTGAGGAAATTGAAATCTTTGGATCATGTGACTGAAGACAGTATTCTTGTTATCCAAGCAAAGGTTGTAGGACAGGGGCAAACATGATTTGAAGAAGGCTTCAGGAAATGCAGCATGTCAGTTCAACCTGGGAGGATAGCCTACATGACAGAGTTGAATGTATGGCTATTGTTCTGACCAACAATGAAGTCAGGTGATTCAATCTGGGATTGAAACCCATGGACTTGTAGCACAGCTAGGGGAGGTAACTCTGGAAACTGCTGTGGCACATTCACACTGTAAAGGAATCAGGGACTGACTGACTGACTGACTGAGTTTGGTTTTACGCCGCTTTTAGCAATATTCCAGCAACATCACGGCCGGGGGAGACCAGAAATGGGGGACACCAGAAATAGGCTTCACACATTGTACCCATGTGGGATTCGAACCTGGGTCTTCGGAGTGACGAGCCAACGCTTTAACCACTAGGCTACCCCACCGCCCCCAGAGGAATCAGGGATGTGTAGGGTTCTGTAGCTGTCCCACTGGTTTCCTTTGCTAGAGTACAATATTCATCATTGCGCCCATTCCTAAATACATACTATTGTTGTAACACACAAAAAGGGACTACTAATTTATCTTGTTATAACTGGGTTTTTTTTGTTATAATAAACAAATAGTTCATTACACCTGCCAGTTCATTACAAGCTTGTTTGCTATAAACATAAGTTACCTTACCTAGCACTCTTAAATATAAGTCTTCCCCTATAAGGGAGAAACTTCCTCAGATCACTGCAGATATATGTGAAGTTTACACATGTTTGGAAACTCAGCAAGATTCATAATGTGTACCTCTCATGCTAGACTAACAACTAGTCTCTGAAATGAACATACTTTACTGAAAAAAGTTCATATTAAAACAAAAATAAGATATAATGAAAAGGAGCCCTAAAACTTTCTTCATTTTCAGAGGAAATCTAGACTTGCCACATTTTCTAGACTTGCGTTGGCTTTCTTGGATATAATTGCTTCAGGGTCTGTACGACAGACTACTGTCATGAAAATATCTTAATATAGAACAGATACCTAGCTGTATTCTTAGAAACCAAAGGCTGCTGTTTCACACGATTCTGCTTACTTGCCGAAGCTCACCGTGCAGATAATACACCTACGTGGGAGGCTTTGTATTGTTTCAAAATTATAATACATGGTCCAGTAATATAGATAGAACCCTAACAATAAACCATTTGAGACAGCTAAACCCTGGCCTCCAACTGTGCTGATTTTAATACCAAATATTCGTAATTTTTTACAGCAGAGTTGAAATCGTTTAAATGGGTGTTTCTCTCCTGACTTCTTTTCACAACATTCCATGAAACAGGAAAAATGTTACCTTGACATGAATAAATACATAATATAGGTCAATCTGACTAGATAACACTTTATACATAATACATCCTTCACCAGAACAATCATTATCAATAACACATTAAATGAGATCATTTCAAACCCTCAATAGAAGATTATTTGAATTCAAGATATTACAATGTGACTAAATCTATAATTGAATTATTAACAATTATGTGCAATACACCAAAGTTACCATGGCAACAGGTACTTGTTTTTAACAAATACAATCTGCTTGTACAAATGAGGGCAGATTGTAATTTATGGTACATGCACACATGAATTATCTAGGAGAAACAAAGCAACGAACACTGTACAGCGGGATCATCATCCGGGGTTCAGATGACGGAGTATAACTTACATGTTAAATGTCATTCCTCATGTTTAAAACCATGTTATGATAACATGACTGTTTTACAAACATCAATGATAACTCCTTGCTCATGTTAGTTTTGTATGAACGCATGATTTAGTGATGAGAGTAGGTAATTAAATCATCCTTTTTGCGCATATTTCATAGTGAAATCTCCCAATGCAAAAATTTGAAATTAAAAGAAATAGTCACAAGTTAAATATGGTTAAGTAGATTGTAAGTTTATAAAAGGTTCCTTGAAATTTAAGTTAATGGAATAAGATGACCTGATATTGTTATATTTACTTAATAAAAACCAGAGTTATCTATAAAACATAAACAGTCCACTGAAAACTTTACTTTGAATATCAATGTAAGCTTTACTGTACCCTCAGTAATATCATTCAAATCAGTTCAAACATAACAATAACAATGGCTTCTTCCATCTAATGCACCAGCAACTCAGTGACCTTGACCTTGGGGAAAAGACTAACACTGTCCAAAACCCACACCAAAAGCATGAAGATTCAATAAATGTATGTAATGAGTATACCCCTAGTGTAGATATAAGAACATCTATATGGGACAGTCCTGACCTTGGGTACATCTTCCATACATCCAAGGTCTTGTTCACATCATGTCCTTCCAACAACCTGTGGAGACTCATTCTAGAAAGCACTTTCTGACTTCGATACATTTAACAAGTTAATCAAGCCATGGTCTGGGTCCAGCAAGTTCTCAGACCAATGAGTGTCCAGTTTTCTTTGCACAAATGACATTGTTCCTCCAGGAATACGTGCCTTTCAGTTCCTGTCTACACAATGCCAAAATGTCTGGCAATGAAACATCATGCCTCCTCCTTTGGGGAGTCATAAACCCATTTTACTAGTTGGTTAAAGATAGACACATGTCACTGTTACACTGCAAAGCAAACATATATATTCGTGGCTGAATGTGAGGGTAAGATAAAATAACATATGAAGTATCGACAATGAAAGGACGATGAACACACAAGTATTTCCTGCCTCAGGAGATCCTTGCTGAGAACACCGGCAGGATCCTCTACTATACATGTCTATTTCTTACGATATGTTTTCTACTCAAGATGCATCTCTCAGCACCTTAACAAATACCTGCAAAGTTGTTTAAAACAAAAAATCTATTTCCAACCAAAATATTTAGTGCATATAAAGGCAATTGGTTTGGAAATTCTAGCCACAAAAACTTTAACAATATTTTTCTACGATCATCTGAACTGACCATGTGATGGTCAATGCCAAGTCAGCATGAGATGTTATGCATATGTTACTGTGTGAGGGACTCAGAGCTGTGCTTCACAAACACCAAGTTCTGGACAGTACAAGCGAAATACACAAATATTTTAAACAAAGCGTTTCACAACCACCAAGTAGCACATACCTACAATAACACAGCCTTACAACCTTAATACACAAATATTTTAAACAATCGTTGTTACTGTGTGATGGACTCAGAGCCGTGTTTCACAACCACCAAGTTCTGGACAGTACAAGCGGAGTAGCACATACCTACAATAACACAGCCTTACAACCTTAATACACAAATATTTTAAACAATCGTTGTTACTGTGTGAGGGACTCAGAGCCGTGTTTCACAACCACCAAGTTCTGGACAGTACAAGCGAAGTAGCACATACCTACAATAACACAGTCTTACAACCTTAATACACAAATATTTTAAACAATCGTTGTTTGACACAATACTGCCATTTCATTTAAAGCACATTTGAGCATTGGTATATATGCTATCACATCTCAAAGCAACTGTTCTTTGTACAAAGAGGAAAGTAAAATAATATCACTGTAAGAAACATCTAAGGAAACAAAAAAAATATATATAAAGTTCACAATAAAACAATCAAAGTAAAAAAATGGAAAATCTATTTTCCTTAAAATTATACACCTCTGGTAAAACTAATCTGCTATGCAGATGCCAATATCAATGACTTCTTAGGTGACCTTCTCTCATAAACATTCAAAGAAGATTCAGACATTCATTGGTCTCTGAATGTTTGTATTTGGTAAAACCTAAAAACCATCTTATTCAATGGCCAGTGCTGTAAAATCAATCACAAATAAATAGTAAAGTAACCAATGAGAATGTGGGCATGTATCATATCACCTGTAAAGTATCGTGTGTATAGACCACTTGAGAAACGTGACATTCATATTTCAAAGTAGAATATGTACAGCAATACAAATACATGTCAAGTAGTTACAACATAGCAGATCTCATGTGATCTTTGGCAAGAGAAATACATGACTTTGATCTAAGTCACATCTAGTTACAATAAGACAGAACTGATGTGGTCTTTGGCAATTGTGACACGTGAATCTTTGATAGAACTGATATCATCTTTAGCAATTGTGATACACAAGTCTTCTGATAAATCTTATGTGATCTTTGGCAAGAGATACGTCTTGGATCTCAGGCACATCTAGTTACAATAAGATAGAACTGATGTGGTCTTTGGCAATTGTGACACGTAAATCTCTCATACAACTGGTATGATCTTTGGCAATTGTGATACATAAGTCTTTGATTTTAAGCTCTTTACACATTAGCTGCATGAACAGTATCTGTACAGCTCACTATAGAAGATTTTGATTTTGACTCATCGTAACACTGTGCTATAGACTGTAACATACTGTTTTCCTAACAGAATTTCCATTCAGAACATAACACTTTAACAACTCTGCCATAATGTACATGAATAGTAATCCCACAAATCTGTAAAACAGTTCGGCGCCTAAACAAATTGTTTCCAAATATGAGGACTTATGTTTTGATTCTGCAACTTTCCAAGTTCTCTTGGGTTGGATTTGAAAGAGCTGAGCACAATGGCAGTCACAAAATCTTTACTTTTCCAGTTTCCAACTTGATATATAAAGATAATGCCACACAGTCTAAAAAGTATGTCTGTTAGGAAAACACAAAATGAACTACTGGTACCTCAAAATCCTTTATACAGACCAACACAGAGATAAGGTTAACATTATTTACACATAAGCAAAACATCCTATACAGGATAGATTAATGTCTGCCTTATAACAAAACAAAATTCTCATATGACTAGCATTATTTACACATTACCCCAAAACCCATTGTACATGCCATCGTCAGATTCATAAGATGTTGCCTGAACTTCTTTATCACAATTCATAGCATGTATATCCACAGAACTATCTCCCTTGTTCTGCACAACAGTTTCTAAATGCCACGCAGAGAAGTGACATTGCCCGAATATGAATTGTTATATCTATCAGGATTTCAAGGAATTTATTGGCATCTAAGACATGTCTGTCATCTGGATCACATCACACATGATCAATAGGCACACTTGAAAATTGTAGTCATATTGTAACCCAATATGGGCAGGTGGAGAAATGTTTACATCAACTTGGCCACCTTGTCCAGCATCTTGTTTAGTGGATGAGGGTGCATATACAGGTAGTCACAAGCGACGTTAACAAGACCAACCTAGACTTTACAAGACTTAGGACTTGTGACACAAGTCACAGACTGTAAATGTACCTTAACATGGAGGAACACTTGTAAGCTTGTGTGCTTAATGTACAAAAATATTGACACAAGTTGACTGAAGGTAATATTTTTGTTCTGATTGAATATTCACTATTCAAAAGATACATCTCTATCTCGGATTTGCACTAAAATGCTATGTGTTGTAGTTTCGATGTTTGGATGTTTATGTAAGCAAGGATTGTCAGGACGTCAGATTGAAATGAAGTCGCAAAGATGACTGATCATTTCAGGCGTGGTGCAGATCGATCGTTGGTAAGTGTTTTACGCAAAGCCACATTCGCAAACATAGGGTTCCTGTTGCGTCTGGAATAAGAAGATACAATGCATAGAATAAATAAAAGAATAAATGATATACTATAAAAAGCCTGAATCAAATAAGGTCTTTGAATGGCATTAAGAAGAGATACGAACAAGGAAGAGTGTTTTATGGATGTCAATGACATGTGTCAACCAAATCAGTGAGTCTGACAACTTGATCCCGTTAGTCGCCTCTTACAACAAGCATGAGTTACTGAATATCAGTTCTAACTCGGACCTTCACGGATCCAAGAGTGATGTGAATGATACTGTTTGGGGTCTAGGTAATCACTGTTTTACCTATATTAAGGTCAGTACCAAGATCAGTACCTTTATACACCTGGTTGAAGGCGCATAGACCCATTTATACACCCGGATGAAGGAGCATAGACCCCCTTATACACCTGGTTAATTGAGCACAGAACCCCTTATACACCTGGTTGATTGAGCAAAGACCCCCTTATACACCTGGTTGAAGGTGCATAGACCCCCTTTTACACCTGTTTGAAGGAGCATAGACCTTCTTATACACCTGGTTGAGCATAGACCCCCTTATACCACTGGCTGAAGGAGCATAGAGCCCCTTATACACCTGGTTGAAGGAGCATAGAACCCCTTATACACCTGGTTGATTGAGCATAGAGCCCCTTATACACCTGGTCAAAGGAGCATTGACCCCCTTATACACCTGGTTGATTGAGCATAGACCCCTTTATACACCTGGTTCATTGAGCAGAGACTCTCTTATACATCTGGTTGATTGAGCATAGACCCCCTTATACACCTGGTTCAAGGAGCATAGACCCCTTACACACCTGGTTGATTGAGCATAGACCCCTTTATACACCTGGTTCAAGGAGCATAGACCCCTTACACACCTGGTTGATTGAGCATAGACCCCTTTATACACCTGGCTGAAGGAGCATAGACCCCTTACTACTTGGTTGATTGCAAAGGTCCCCTTATACACCTGGTTGAACGTGCATATTCCCCCTTATACACCTGTTTGAAGGAGCATAGACCTTCTTATACACCTGGTTGAAGGAGCATAGAACCCCTTATCCAACTGGTTGATTGAGCATAGACCCCCTTTTACACCTGGTCAAAGGAGCATAGACCCCCTTATACACCTGGTTGATTGAGCACAGACCTTCTTATACACCTCTTTGACCGTCATAGATGCTCTTTCAAGAATTATTCCATGCTTACACCCTCCTTAACACCTATTTGATGTACAAAGCCCTCTACACATCTGCATACTTACAGTTGTTCTTCCTCTTCGATGTAGTCAGTTGGTGGTGGAGGTGGTGGGAACGGGGAGGCATTCCCAGACCACTGTTGGTGCTGGTTTGTGACCGGTGGCGGCGGTGGTGGAGGAGCCTGTGGAGCCTGTGGAGCCTGTGGTAGCTGCTGATGGAGCCCTGTCTGGTAGTGATGGTCATGCTGACGGGGCAGTGTGTGGACCTCACCCTGACTTGTCAGAATCTGAGACAGAGTGGTGCCTTGAATTGAGACAGGGTGCACAGAAGAGGAAGTGGAGAGAGGATTCATAGGAGGAAGAGGAGGAGGAGGAGGAGGAGCAGAGGAAGAATTAGCAGAATGAGAGTTAGAGAGATGAGGTGTCGTCAAGGCTGGGCTTCGAGATGGGGCATCCATCATGTTATGGGCTGGGCTCTGAGATGGAACTTCTCTCATACTTGGTTTCGGGACAAGGGTTTGAGGACATGCTTAGGTGTGCTGGGAGTGCCAGTATCATGTGGGGGGTGTGGTGGTGGGTGTGGTGGGTGTGGCTGTGTCGGAGCAGCAGGGTAGGGGAGAGAATGGGGGAGAGAATCATGCAATGGTTTCCTTGTAAGAGTGTTCATCTCCAGGAAAGGAACTCCATGCTGCTTGAAGGAAATGGGAATAATTTGTTACTTTCATGATATTCAGGATCAAGTTCTGTGACGGCAATTAAGAGTAAGGTAATTTGTGGATGAGTCAACAGTGAGAAGAGGTGTGGAGTTAATAAGCCAGTTTGTCAGCATGTAAGATGAGATATTGCTAACACCATACATGTTCGAATTCTTATGCTTGTTATCAGATATCTCTTAAACTTGACAAATAAAAGTGCCTTCTTTCTCATCTCCAGAAGAAATACCAAGTCAATATTAATTTCTTGCAAAATATGAAATGTTAGTATAAAATATTAATGGTAAAGGATACAAGAATATTCACATGCAGAGAAGTAGTTCTATGTTCTAACTCCAGAAGCATGCACTACTGTTAACTAAAATAAACGCATTTCTGAACAAGCACCTCACAAACAATCAGCACCTCGTAACCACAGCACAGCATTCAACCTCAAACAGCACCTCATTCATACAACAGCACCTCAAACAACAGCACCTGATGACTGTGAACAACACCTGACGTAACCCAAACAACAGCACAAACTAACAGCACAGACAACAGCACCTCAACAACCACCTCACAAACAACAGAACCTCATCATGCGTAACAACAGAACCTCATCACTGCAAACAACAGAACCTCATCACTGCAAACAACAGAACCTCATCACTGCGAACAACAGAACCTCATCACTGCGAACAACAGAACCTCATCACTGCAAACAACAGAACCTCATCACCTGATTACTGTGAACAACAGAACCTCATCACTGCAAACAACAGAACCTCATCCTGCGAACAACAGAACCTCATCACTGCAAACAACAGAACCTCATCACTGCGAACAACAGAACCTCATCACTGCGAACAACAGAACCTCATCACTGCAAACAACAGAACCTCATCACTGCGAACAACAGAACCTCATCACAAACAGCAGCACCATATTACCACAAACATCAAGTGTTAAGGACAAAGAACAAGACAAATCTAGCACTTTTATCCAAGCCAAGCTACTAAAACTACTGACATTTGCAATCATCACCACTCTGTAACCATGGAAACAAGAAAAATTTGTTGCACCTTCGACATTTGTATCAAGGTCTATATTTCATTCATAAATTCTGCATAAATGTTCTTGACATTTCGGGGAACTGTGTTTCTTTTTAGTTATGACATAATCATATTTCATATATGAAACAGTTTAATGGAGCCAAATGACAGTTATGAGACTTCTGAAATCACCAAACATCCAACCTATTGCCCGGACTATGGAACACAAAGATGTCTGCAATGAACAAAATGGGCCTTCCAAATAGCTGTCTGCCTGTAATATTTCACACAGTTTGGCCTAGGGTGTCGGGCTCAATATTGCATTCATGGCATACGTGTATAAATTACAGGTGTATCCTCAACTGTTTAACCTTCACCCACTGGACGGACAGTGGACGGAGTCCAATCTCTTTACAAGAGTCTCATTGTCCAGAGTGTATGTAATGATGCCACAAGTTGACTGTGATGCCACTGCACAGTAGTCTCAGACTGTCACTTCAATATACTGGTAGTTAGGAGAAAAACATTTCATCCATTTACTAAAAAAATGGACACTCAGAGAAAATGGATGGTTTCTTTTTATAAACCCACTGCAGCATTTGCCTGTGGTTTTGCAGGTATCTTGCTGTCTCATTGTAACATTGTGTGAGGTTTCACGTTCACGTGAGGCCTGCACAGAGGATTTACACTTGAAGTGAAAAACACTGAATTATATAAAATGGATTTTTAATGTGCATCTAATTTTAAATGCACTGTGACACTATAATATTAAATTCAAACAGCATTGATTGAGCCATTTGGATTTTGAAAATCTCAGTAAAACAGAATTACCTTACGATAAATAAGTTTTAATACAGAGAGGTTGAGGACTTGACAAATGGTAGCTGGGTAGGGAACTTAGGGCTGGGACGATACACTATGTCACGATACAATACATATCGCGATATTTTACCTGCAATAGGATACGTATCACGATACATACACCTTGAAAGAATGACACGGTATCAAGATTTAAAATGATTTATTTCAAGGTATTTGTGTTTAACAATAACACTATTGTAATAAACAAACAAGTAACTCCATCATACTTGCGTATTTTTCTCTAAATAAGTACTGTAACATGTTTAAGATAGCACTGTTTAGAAAAAAAAGTTGTGTATCGTTTTGTATCGATAGCTGTATCAAACTTAAATGTATCACGATGCATCGGTGAATCATCCCAGCCCTATGGGAACACAGGGATGTTGAAGAGTCAACTACACATTTGCAAATTTCAGTTAGTTTATACATCCAGCCACCTAACTTAGCCACAGCAATACATCACATCAGTCTGTATGGGATCAACCATTTGATATTCTGAGGGAAGACTGGCACCGAGGAACAAAAAACTTAGACAGAAAAAATGAGGTTTGGAAAAATAAATAGTATGGTTCCTCCATTCAGAAATGTTTTAAAACTCTCCATCAAAACACACACTAACATTAACATCCACAATAACATGCACACAGACACGCACACATGCAAGCACACACGCTCGCAGACACACACGCCTACCCCTGAATATCAAATGGTTGCTCCCTAAAACTGCCCAACCACAAATACAACAGGAACTGACAAGCCAATACAAACGACAACAACCATGCAGTACCTTGGGGTCATAGTAGGGGTCAGGCAGGGTCTGGTACAGCTCCTGGGAACCCATGTCAACCTGGGGTGAAGGTCGAGGAAGGGTATGAAAGCCGGAACTAGCTCGAGCAGATGATGTGTCTGACCCCATCCCCCCATAGGACATCATATGAGGGGCAAAGTCACCACTGGTTGTGTGGTACAGGTGACTCGACCATGGAGACATAGAGGTCATGATGGGCATAGAGGGCTGGAATGCAAGGTCGGGAGGTCAAGGTCAAAGAGGCACAGCACAGGGTTTATCACCAGTCCAATGGGAAAATGGTGTACAAATGTTTGTTTCATGTATGTGTCATAATTTAGGTTATGAATATGGTAAACAAATTCACAGTTTTGACAACTATATCAGATCAGATTTTTTTTTTCAAAATTAATAAACATGCTGGCAAACTTCAAAACACAAAACAACTTTGCCATTTTTTATTATTGCACTGAAATTTACTGTGCAATACCACAATACAGGTAAAACACATTAATATGGCATCGTATGATGCAACAGATGTATCAACACTATGCATCAGAGGAACTGTGCCACCCATGTCTGTAACTTGATGGAGGATATATTTTGTGTCACCCTCACAGGGGACAAGAACCACTTCCCCTGTGGCAGTCTGCAACAAACAACCTGTGCTCGCCCCTTGCTTCACCTTACTACACCAACATCCACAACTGGGGAAGGAATGTCCTTCACACAAGCTAAATGTGAAGAGGTCACTGCGAAGTTTTGACTGACCAAATCAATGGTCAACATACGACACACACCTTTCTCTAGATTCCAGTTCTAGTTTCAAAATTCAAAATGTGAGAGTTGGACAAATGATTGAGTATGATTTTACGCTGCTTTTAGCAATATTTCAGCAATATTACAGCAGGGGACACCAGAAATGGACTTCACACATTGTACCCATGTGGGGTATCAAACCCAGGACTTCGGCATTACGCTACCCCACCGTCCCAGGTTATTCTAAAATGACCTGTAATGAGATGTCCTCAGATCTGTCTGTAGCAGTGGCAACCACCAGGATCTGATTTCAATGAGATCATCAACAGTGTTACCTGTATCTTCTGCCACATCATCAGCTTTGTACAGATCGTTTTAAAGAAAAACAAAGACCAAATCATCTACAGTGCTCAAAATTAAATTAAAGTCCTCAATTCAAATGGAAACTGTCGTAATACAAATAATAAAATGTCAAGACAGTAGGATTTAGGTCGCCATAGATGAAAACAGTAAGCCACAAGCATGGTCAAAGACCCTGAGTGCACCTTAGTAGAATGTATAAATGGAAACACCATGGACAAGACATGTTCATGATTGTTTATGGATTCATGAAGTATTCATCAATTAATTACTCTAAATAGGGAAAGAAAGAACGAAATGGTGTCTACTTCATTACTTTCAAGAATTTAAGAGGGACAGATTGAAGGCTGCAAGAACAAGCAGATGCAGCACTTCGCACAATTTCCTAACAATGTCAGGTGTAGAGGAAACAAAAGTACTAAGTGAAATTCAGTCTAAACAAAGTCAATTTCTACTTCTACAGAACTTTGATTACTAGACTCTAAAGATATAACAAGAAATAGAATTGGTGTCATAGTCATAGAGTGAGTGAGTGAGTTTAGTTTTACGGCGCACTCAGCAATATTCCACCTATATGGCGGCAGTCTGTAAATAATCGAGTCTGGACTAGACAATCCAGGGATCAACAGCAGTATCAACCCAGTCAGCGAGACCCTCCATCCCGTTAGTTCGCCTCTTACGACAAGCATGGGTTACTGAAGATTATAGCTAAAATACATGGAATTATCATGAAACGGCCCTCCCATTATCAGAAATTTGCGGGCCGCTGCAAATAATATTGGACCGCTCAACCTTAAAGACGGGCCACTATCAGTTCTGTTGTCAAATGACATCATAGTGGGTGCGTGGGCTTACGGTTCATTCGACATTGGCTTTGGACTGGCAGATATTCTGGGGCAAACAAGTCAAAGCAACCCGAATATCCGCTTTAAAAAGCAGCAATGTTGGCTTTCTTGCTGGTGCTAACCTTAACATTTGCACTATTAACGTTGTTGTTGGACCAAAACCGAACACTGACATGGTTTGGCATGTTGCAGGCTATGGTCTTGTCAAAGGCCAAGGTCGAATATCGTCACTTTCTGTTGTGACGTCACTTGAATTGTTCGATGACGTAATTGCATTCGGGCAGTCAACTCCGTCAGAAGTTGGTTTTGAGTAAACTTACAGTCATATTCCTTCATTGTTTCCTTTTTCTTTTCAACACAAATTCCATGTATTTTAGCAATAATAACGGTAATGCTATTTTTGAGGGCATTATCATTTGCAGAAGCCCTCAGTCTTCGTCGGGGAGTTAATGGAAGACCTCGGGCTTCTGCAAATGATAATGCCCTCAAAAATAGCATTACCCTTATATCAGTTCTAACCCGGATCTTCACAGGTACATTGTCATAGAAACTATACATCTCACATGTATACACAGACATGTTATCTGTTTCTTATGTCATTAAAGCATGTGTGTGTCTGATTAATGACATACATGTTGTATAACTTCACTCAACTTCACCATTTTAATATGTCAGGATCATCAAATCATCTCACAAAGGGACATAACTCTATCTGAAGCCAACTACAAACAGCTCCTTCTGTTGGACGTGTATATACCTTTTTTCAAGCAAGAATATAGGAGAAACTGAAAACATATTTCTACATTGCTAAAGATCACATCGCCAATACACTATTCCCCTCACCCTCATCCACCACTGACCTGGGATGTAGGTGTGATGTGTCGGACCATGGAACTCTCGTACAGTGACCGGGGACGCCGGCTGCGACCGGGCATGTCCACTTCGTAGCTGATGCTGATGTCCGAGATCTGGGACCGGGAGTCCAGCAGGTCGCCAATACTCTTTGCTCGGTGGAGGCTGAATGGAGACAATCACAAACACTGTACATACAATATATACACTGGAGAACATCAACATAAGTTCTGTGAATTACAACTGCACAAAACCTTTCACTTCCTGCCTCAAGAGTTACCATGGTGACCACTACAATCGCTTCAAATTGGATGAAGGGATAAAGTTACCAGTATTGTATTTATCAAGGAATATTTTATGTACCAAGGTAGAAAAAGAAACAATAAAAACCGCGCCAACACCATTTTCTCAAAATCCCTTGTCAGAAAACCAATTCTTATAATCTTTAAGCCTGAGAATCTCCCTAGTTCATTTTAGAGCAGGTTTTAGAGACGGCATCCAAAATGTGAGTGAGTGAGTGAGTCATGACGTGATCGGAGAACATTTAATATTGAAATGAAATATATGCAGGACAGTAAAACAAAGACTAATTTGATATTCCTGGAAAGTTTTATCTACCAACATGATCCTTTATCCAACATGATCAATCCAATTGTCTGAAGGTCACATGTGTCACAGAACTGCCTATAATGACAGTCTTAATTGAAAGGCCTAATTGTGTGGACATGAGCAGAGTGTGACAGTATGTGACTCACAGTTGAGCGTGGTCGGTGTGTCGACTGCCTCCGACAGCGTCAGTAAAAGACAGGGGGAACCAGCCAAATCTGTCAAAAGTATAATGAATTGGAATTAATAACTCTTGGAACAGTAGCATGGCATGCCAGCTTCATGTCAGAGACCAAGTAGAAATGGTTGGTTAAACAAACAAAAAAAAGGAGATTATGGGAGACAACTCTGCAATGCCAGTTATTGATTATTAGGACCTCACGGGTAATATTCCAGCAATATCACGGAGACAACTCTGCAATGCCAGTTATTGAGTATTAGGACACTTATGCCTGCAAGATTTTAAGTAAGTTAAACATTGTGGTTCCAAGAAAGTAAGTTAAACATTGTGGTTCCATATGAGCAATAGCCAACACAAGCAAGTAGTAGACAAAGCAACAGCAGTGTCAGAGTAAATCTGAACCAGAGCCAGATCCTGACAAATGTAAGGGACACAACTCAGCACTGCATGGCAGTGCCTTTGGCAACTGGGTCACATCTGCCCAAGTCAGAGCTGAGACTGCAAGACTAGTTCTTTGTCATCAGTGAATAGTCCATGTTTTAGAAATTTGCATGCTGTCTCTAAACCACATATGGGGCAGTGGGGTAGTCTAGTGGTTAAAGTGTTCGATAGTTACATAAATAAAGACAAAATATAGATGTGATTTGCGATAGTCTTAAAGATAAAACAGCAGCAATAATTCAAACACATTAAAGGAGTGGGAAATATTTTTTTTCCACCACTTGATACGGGTCAGGCATAAACCATATTACAAGTGGACTAATATGTATAAAACATGTGACCCTATGACGATCCGGGTAAAATTTGGCCATCAGCGAAAAGTGCTTGTCACGAGGAGGCTAACAGGATCGGGGTGTCGGACTTACTGAGATCGATGCTGTGAAGGACATCATGAGCAATATTCCACACTCACAGACAGGGCACGAACACACTAGGTCTCATCAACCAATCCATTTAATCACCTCTAATAACCATCATTTGTTGCTGGGGGACCAGTTCTGTTCTGCACTCCGAATAGGAAGTGAATGAGTGGGTAAGTGATTTTGGTTTGACGCCGCTTTTAGCAATATTCCAGCAATATCATGGCAGGTGCACCAGAAATGGGCTTCACACATTGTACTCATGTGGGAATTGAATTAACATCTTCGGAGTGACGAGAGAACGCTTTAACCACTAGGCTATCCCACAGCCCCCGAAAGTGGGAATCATTATGCTGGTATAATCTGTTTTAATGATAGCAACAGTTCTTAGCCACTGAAATGGACAGACGACAATTGCAGGTAAGCTGTGACCTACTTTCCAGTGTGAGCATTAAGGCCATACTGCCATCCGTCCGACTTCTCCCCAATGAGGGTGAGCACATCCCCATCAGTGAAGCTCAACTGGTCCTCTCCGCGGCCGGTGTGGGCATAGATCGCCTGTACATTGGACTTGGCAGGGGAACCCTGGGTCATCGACGGGAGGCCGCGAGGTAATGTCTTGCCTGGAAACAAAACTGAGAATGATGAGCCGCATGGTTCAGGACAATAAGACCACAGTCTCAAACATCAGACATCAAATACTGACATGGCAGAATGTAGTAACATTAACTCAATAATAAAGTGCATCGTGTGACATGGTGACATTGTCTCCAACTAAGGAGGTTGATGATATATTGCTACATTGATGACACTCACAATAACTGATGAAGCCTGCTCAATAAGACCAAGTCACGGAACTCATATCCTCTATAGACTATAGCTCCAGGCTTGGCATTTGGAAGATCTAACCTATCCTGAGGACCTTTCTTTATTGCACCTCAACGTGGTGGGAAAACTTTGCGTCATAAAAGGGATTTACACTTAGGTCTTCAGACCCTCTAATACTGATACAATGCTGACAAAATCTGACTTGAGAAAGCTCCACCTACTCTCTACAGGCATGGCGGCAGGCACAGCATACTCGGACGGTGCAGACTTCTGTCTCATGTACTCGGCGGAGGAGGCAGGCCGGTGGTACGGGCTGCCGTAGTGGCTGTCTCCGGGGTACACCATGCCGTTCTGGTGCTTCTGGGAGTTTTCCATGGCCTCACATCATCTCTGCTGTTTCTATCTACAGTCCTGGGCCCATTACAAACACACACACAGTTCAACACATCATAAGTTAAAACAGAAATAGAAAGGGGAAGCGATTTTCATGTTTCCAACTACTACAGTCCTGTTCTTGCATGCCACTGGTTGTCAATGAGACATTGTTTAATGCACACCTGTTTTTTTCCTTTTGTTGTTTTGTAAAATCAAAATATACCCTAGAAGTATTGGTTTTCTCACAATATAACCAGAAAATGTAATATGGCTACAGAAGTGTTGTAAAGAATTCATGACAGGGAAATACGAATATCAAATAATATATCGAGAGAGCAGTTGTTAAATACTCATTCACAGTATATTAATGATATGACCCTATTGCGTTGATAAATATTTTTCTAAAAGTGAATATTAAAATTGAATCTTGATTTTGCACGTTAACTTGTATCTAATTTTTGATTACTTTAATGATTAACTAAGACAAAATCACTCCATCACCGAAAAGAAATTATCTTTGGCATGACAGACTCTACGGCAACGGCATAGGCCAGGGGAAACCACTCCCATCTTGCCCATAAACTAAAATTATCTGCTCTTGAGTTAATGAAAAGGTCCACGGCCATTGTTAATGTACTCTTTACATTCTCTACCCTGTGGGAATGACAGAACTCAACCTCAGTATTTCCCTATGCTGGTTGATTTTGTTAATTCTGACGAGGGACGTTGCTCATACTATCAATCACTAGTTCATCCTGGAAAAACTTGGTCCTTTACAGGCTGCTAACATATAGCTGGAATATTGCTCGTCACGATATGGCTGCAATATTGCCGATGTGACGTTAAATAATAACTCACTAAGTCACTCACTCACTCACTCACTCACTGGAATATTGCTGAGCACAGGGTAAATCAGTAAACAGGATGTAAAGTTTTAGACTGGACCAGGCAAACCAGTGATCACCAATCTTGGCTTTATCTCCTCTTACCACTGGTGGTATTTCAGCCAAATTGTTAGTTAAGCAAGTATAAGTTTTTCATATTGAATTAAATCCTGTCAAAATCCCAACATATCCAAGAATCACATTTACAACAGGTTGATGAAGGTTAAAACCTTTTACTTTCAACAATAAGAAAATAGTCTTATATTCAGGTCATGGATTGCCATGGGGAATTACTGATCTCTTAGAGTAAACATGAGACACAATTCCACAGTTGTCTCAGAACAACATTTTCAGAGTGTATATGAGCGAATGTGAACATGTTTTTTATGATTATCAAGAAGGTCAAGGCCTTACCCGTCTGTTGACGAGCGGATCTGCTGACCGTGGCAGAATATGAGGCTGTGAACACAACTGTTTCCAATGTGGTATTTCTGATGCCAACATCTCATAACCCTACAAAAACACGAAAATATAAATAATATGTAACAGACAAAAAAATATCTGGAAGAAAAAGATATGCAATATTGTTTTTGATTCAGACATCTTTTTCACTCACTGTGTTTCTGACAGTGTCATGACTACACAATGTCTCAAACACTGATACCATTCTTATGTTATACTTCACAAATAAGACATTTGCAGACCTTTTCAAGCAGAATATACAAAATGAGTTGTGACTGAACTACTATCAGACTATCAGTCATTAATATTAGCATAATATGTAAACTCTAAAATAAAGAAGTTGATCATCCATAAAGTCTTGTCATCCATGTGTAAACTCATCTCTGATTGTAAATGTATTATCAGGTATTCTGTGCTGCTTCATCGTTTATTTAAATAATCACATGGAACAACAATGGCATCTTACCCATTATTATTATTACTATTATTATCATTTAATATAGGACAATTTACCATTATTATTATTATTACTATTTTTATCATAATTTAACACATTTAGTGTACATATCCACAAAGTGCCAAAGTGGTATTGATCAGAGTGGACATTCAGTATCCTTGTTTTTGTTAATAAAAGTTACTGTAAGTTGTCACTAAAACAATATTCCTTATATTACCATTGATCAATCCAGCATACAGATGATGAAATCACCAGGTACATGATGGAAATACAAGAATATCGATTTCAGTAACAAGAGTCCATATAATACCAATTCCTTAAAATAGCACAACCATTATCATAATATGATATAAATAAAAAGCGCATATAAAAACACATGCTATTTAGGTTTCATCATGCATAAAACATAATCTTTCTAGTATATGAATAATGTACAACTATTTGTATCTATAATGTCAATGTTTCAACATCACTAATTCACAGCCTTGAGTTCTTCCATCAGCCCATGTACATACTATCAGTTTGCAGCAGTTTATTATTATTATTATGCTAATATTTGTATAGCACCAATATCCAGCTAAGCTGCTCAAAGGCTTTGCTTTTCCCTCGATCATTGGATGTCAATCTCAACAGGCATGTCGTATTATCAATCTCAAGTCCCTGGGGAGCTTACAACTCTTGCAGCCACTAGGTGCAGTGAGTTAATGTGGCTTTCCCATCCTTACGAGGTTCCCATTCACAGCTGGGTGGACTGGGACACATACCGGTAGTCACAGTACTTTGTCCAAGCTTACTGCACGTTGCTGCACCCGAAACAAAGTGTTTGCATGGATTCGTGGGTTCTTTTAGGTGTACAGGGTTGTGTACTGTACACTAGGGGTTGTGACAACACTGATAGAGTCTGCACACAAAGTTGACTCCAAGGTTTGTACACCCAGTCATAGGTGGGTTCGATCCCGGCACCTCAAGTTCACTGGATCACTAGCCTGACGCCTTAGACAGCTCGCCCACCACGCCCCACGCCAGTTTATAGAAAAAGAACCAAGCCACAGCCTGCTTCTAGGGAGAAGGATGTCAGTGATTATACTGACCAACTGACCAATGAGTGGTCAGTTTACATTCATTCATCAGTGTTTCTTGCCGTACAACGCTTGCATCCTGGGCCAAGGCTCTTCCATCAACTGTCTGTGTTGCCACTGGCACCATGATCACCATGGGTTCGCCAAAGATTCATTCAAGTGGTGAACCTCATTGACAGAATTTCGCTATCTCGTTTCACAATTTCACATTAAACCAGGCATGTATCACCACTGCGCTGCAAATCTGACGCATGTAATCATGGATGATGGCCGAACGTAGTATCAATACTGTGAAGTACTGATGATGGCTAAAGAAATACAGGCTGTAATAAAGGAAGCTGTGCTACTTCTACACATTAGAACCATCCATGACTGATAAAGAAAGGCAACGCAAACAAACCAACTACAGTAACACTAACAATAGCTTCATAATTCCATCATGAGACAACTCCACCACTTCCTCTAAAGCCCTGGTGTGAATATAGCAGGATATTAAACAGAAAGCATGAGTGAGTGAGTGAGTGAGTGAGCGAGTCAGATTTGTTTAATGCTATCTTTGATCAGTATTTTGTTATATCACACAATGCTTCCCTTGGGACGAAAGCCCAAAGTGATGCAGATCCTAAGATAATAGCCACTATGAATAAATCCACGATCACAAGTAGTGAGTAAGTATGGTTTTACGCCCCTTTTAGCAGTATTCCAGCAATATCGTAGCAGGGTACACCAGAAATGGGCTTCACACATTGTACCCATGTGGGTCTTCGGCGACACGAGCCAACGTTTTAACCACTAGGCTACCACAATCACAAGTAGAAACTCTAGAAACAGTAACACCTGTACTGTCAGGTGAGCTAAAACTAATGCACTTGTCTCCATCAATGAGAATGATGAGGATGACTGATGTGTTAAGTGAGCTGGTTACCATGGTTACACGACAGTCTCTACAACGAAAGAGCTGATCAGCTGATGAGTAAAATAATGAAGATGGGTTATCGTGGTTCATGAGATCATAAAGTTTATAAACAAAGCATAGAGAGAGACTCCAGTGACATCCAGAAATAAATGTGTTAAAATGCATCCATATCAATCATGGCAAGCCAGATTACCTCCATTGATCTGCTGAAAATGAAATATGGTTTCCATGACAACAGAAATGAGAATACAATCAAACCTCATCTAAAATGTCATCTATCTATCACCCTTTGTCTTACTATCTAACAGTAAAATCTTGTTGAATCCATAAACTGACACAATGTTAATGAGCTGGCGATTAGGTGCCTCACACTGACAGTGTGAGTTCAAATCCTGATCATGCTGATGGGATTTAACCCAAAATAGTACTAGAATCTGTAATTAATCCCCAAAATAACATTTGTTCCTTTGTTAAAGACGATGTAGTTTTATCATCCTAAGAGAACATTTATTGAAACTCTGTGGAAAAATAAGTACTCTATTTTCTCAAGAATGGCTAGTTGAATCTTAGGCATATATACGGCTCCGCTTTTGCTTCTTCCATTGTATTTTAAGTAAGGCTATATTTAAGTTTAGAGTTAAGATAGTCATAGCACTATGATCTCTCAGAGGACCAGCACCCTCAATTGTACCCACAACATCAGCAGAAAAAGGACAAGTTATATCCTGATTATGGAAGTATATGATTGAAAACATCCATATTGTTTATTCACTTGCAGTCTAGTATAAACTCAATTTTAAAACCTGTCTAATCATGGACTTGTGTCATCTTGGTTCACTCTTCTTCATGAACGACACCGTCCTCTGCCATCCAGGAAATCACATCTACATCATTATTTGGTATAAATACCACAGAACCAGTCCTTTCTGTAGCATAACATTTCTTTCACGTAACCGATCACAATGACTTTTCTGAACGACATATGGAAGTTGATTCAAATTCAATGAGCAATTACAATACACAATGACTGTTTGTTTCTTTGTCACTGTCCACCCTGGATATACCACCACCCGGGATATACCACCACCCGGGATATACCACCAAAATTTGTCTGGTATACGGATGGTGGCTGCTGATCAATCATTAATCTGGATTAGCAGAGTCAAAACACATGGGACTCTGAGCTTCCCCTCACACGGTCAGTGGTAGATCAAAGCTTGTCTCTTGGATAAGTGAGTCAATTTTGTGTTGCTTTAACCGGTTGGTTTGAAAAATTTATATATCCAGGTTTAACTGTACATAGAAAACAAAGGCTTCCCCTTTTGGACTAGTCAAGAGGGACTGGCCCAAACCTCATGTTTAGGGTGTTCAAAGGTGCCTCTTATAGTCCGTTTGGCTCCATTTGGGGACCGATGAACCGGGTCTAACTGTAAAACGAACCATTAGGCTAACAAGAAACATGTCTTAACCATGTCACTACACTTTTAAAAAAAGGGGTTTAAAAGCATAATGAAATAAGATAGCTAATTCTTTATTATCTTTTTGGACTACTCAAGAGGACTGGCCTAAACCTTATGTTTAGAGTGTTCAAAGGTGCCTCTTAGATAAGACCGACACAACAAGTGGAGACCAAGGATCAATGGGTGACATTACTCACCTTCTTGGTGTAGGAGGTCTGTACAGAGGCAAGGGCAGTCAGTCTCTCCAGCAGGTAGCAGTAACACTTGCGTTCCTCCAGGAGGGCCTGCAATATGTTCACAGTCATAACTGTACCCAACAATATACAGATAATACATAAAGGATACTAAACCACCTTTCGTGTAATACCATCTTCATTAAACGAGTTGATACTAAATCTTTCACGAGTTTAATAAAAATGGTATTTCACGGAAGCGAGTTTAGTATTCTGTTTATTACTCTCCGACATAAATTGATAGAAACTGCTGCGAAACTCCCGACAGTGTGATGACTCTCAGCTCCCACAAGTCAAGCAAGGTCTGATACCATTGTGACAGAGGTATTGGCATTGTGACGTCATAGCTGTAAACCATTATGACGTCATATAGGTCTAGCGGTATTACACTAGTGTAATATTGCGTAAAAATATTACACTGCAGTATCCTACACGGGCGAGTAATAAAGGATAATATTGGTACAATAATCATTTATTTTTAACTAAACCTGCACTACTTAATTCCTGCACTTATTGCTTTCGACTCGAAACGTGGCTGTGCCAGACAATTGATGTTGAAAACGTAGACTGTGATCACTTCCTGGTCTCGGATAAACATCCGCCTTTGCTCTATTATCATATCAAATAATTTTCCAAGAACATAGTACTGAGGATGATAATTAGTTTGTCATCTCGACCATTTTCTCTGTAGTAACTTACAGCAAAAACCAAGCTGAGTGAGTTAACTAAAGCTGATCAAACATACCTTTTCTTTGGTTGCATTTGATTACAGAATACTATTAGACAATGGTGATTGGACTGGTGGGTTTTCATAGTAGGGCTGGAAGGCCTTAAAAGTTTAATCAGCCCTGTGATCTGGTACAAATCTGAGGTGAATTTCATACACTGCATATATCATCAATGTATTGAAGGTTGGACTCAAACATAACTTCCCAAGTTGATCTCATGACTTTCAGAGAACTTTGAGTGAGTAATAGTGACTCTTAGTTTTAGTAGACTAGGTGAGACCATGTCCAGATCTGTCCAAGGGACATAACTCTAATCTATGCTTCATCAATTACGACATTTTGTCTCTCCATATGCTCTAATTTCATCAACCATGTACAAGTTTAATACTCACAAGTTTCAGGCCTTGTGTTCTGAACTCAGTCAGTTTCTCTTGGCATTTGGCAACAGCTCGCATATACTGAAAATAACATGGATTCATACTAGTAAAATTATGATCAGTGTTCAAAATTCAGTACTATGCAGATTTCAACAAGTTGTACATGATGTATTTTCTCCAAATGCTAATGAGTATTTACAACACAATTAGCCTACGACAGGTAATATTCATGGTATATCAATAACAACAGGCAGGTGATCATACACTACACAAGCACACTATTTTTGGCCAACAAAACTGAAGTAAACATAATTCAACACACAATTTTTTATAATTAGATTAGCTTTGAAATCTTATATGTATTACTGAAAAACATTTATTATGAAAATTTACAGGTAATGAAAAAGATTTCAAACTACAAATATTTTTCTATTTTTCTTTATTACCCAAGTAAATTCATTACACAAGCAATAAAAATTGTCTAGCCTAACAAAGTTTCATCAGATACACATAAAGAATAAATATGTGAATGCCATATGCTCACTTTCAAAAGAGTTTTCTGAAATTATTGACAGCTGTCAGATCAGGACTATTGAAATTCTACCCATGAAGATCTGGGTTAGAGTTGATCTTCAGTAACCCATGCTTGTTGTAAGAGGCAACTAACAGGATCGGGTGGTCAGGCTCGCTTACTTGGTTGACACATGTCATCGGTTCCCAATTGCGCAGATCGATGCTCATGCTGTTGATCACTGGACTATCTGGTCCAGACTTGATTATTTACAGACCGCTGCCATATAGCTGTAATATTGCTGAGTGCAGCGTAAAACTAAACTCACTCACTCAATCAATCAATATTGAAATTTGTTCAACCTCTAAAAACTACCTTATCCTGAAGTTACTGATACACACAGAGAGGTCCAGTGAATATCCTACCTGTGCTTCCTTGGAGTCGTCAAAGGTAAACTTGGACTTGCTTTTCTTCCTGAACTTCTTGAGAGCTTCCTGTGCCTTTATGTATGGGCTGATGTAACCCTTGTGTCCATGTTGGTACTTCTTGTGCTCAGCCTGGAGATACAGACAGGTAGTGAATACACAATGCCATTTAGAAAGCGGTCAAATGTTACACGTTATATTTGGGATTACACTTTCTCAGAAAGGTACAGATTCTTACTTTTGTTGGGTGGCACAAGCCGTGGTGGCTGAGTGGGGTTAGATGGATGACTTTGTGTGATGGGCATTAGGTGCCTGACTCTGAGAGTGTTAATTCGAATCCGGATGGGACACAACAAAGGTACTAGAACCTGTACATTACTGAGCAAGTGTAATCCCAAACATATGATGTGTTACAAGAGACATGTAGAGCCTGGATTCATACACTTAACAACACGAAAAAAGGTTTGCATCATTTCTGTTGACATTGCAGCATTTATAGATGTTTCTCCAGTAACTAACCCACACCAGAGTGAGTTTTAGTTTTACATCGCTTTTAGCAATATTCCAGCAACATCACAGTGGAGGATACCAGAAATGGGCTTCACACATTGTACCCATGTTGGGGATCGAACCCGGGCCTTTGGGGTGACGGGCGAACGCTTTAACCATTGTTAACCACTAGGCTACCCCACCACCCCAACCCACACCAGAACAATGAGAAGATAATGCAGACTTACATAGGCATGCTTGAAGTCATTCTCCAGTCTATGTTCCAGTGGCAAGATCACTTCAGAAAACAGTGCCTTTGTCTGAAAATAGAAAACCTATTAAACTCACAACTCTCAGGATCTATTATTTTAGTGAACCAGTTAACATGTTCTGAGGCACAGAGGATAAGTTATTACATGATCTGATTGCAGATAACAGATGAAATATGAACGTATGTAGTAAAATATATAGAGAAAATAGCAAAATACTCAAACACAAAAGATAGTAGTCATGTTCTTATATACTACTAAAGTTTGGGAAAGACATTATTTTTTTCCTTAATACACACCAATTATTCTCATGTCAAGTGTTTACTTAAACTGAATGACATATTTTGACATCTACCGTATGATCTCATACTGTTTCAGCTGATCAACTAGCCTTTGCATGTGTTTGTGATGGTTCACCATCAGTGGGCCAGGACATGCTCACCTTTTTGATAGAGGTTGATTAGCAGACTTTCTTTATGCTTATGATATAATTCCATAATACCTGCCGCTGCTTTTAACAGTGATGGATTAAGAATATGGAAACGGTTTTGTCTCTCTCTTGTTATAGATAGTAGGAGCTGTTGGGTACTCACACATTCTTCCACCTTGGCATACATCTCCTTCTGTATGTCTGCCAGCTTCAGGATGGCACCACCTGAAAAGTCACAACACGATCAGAGGATCGTTCAGCTTGAGATGCATCGCAGTGTTTAGTGGAAATAGATGTATCCCAGTGCTTTCTTAGTAAAGGTGAACAGTCTTTTAAGGATTGTCTGTGTATTTGTTTCTGTTCATTGAGGTATGAATAAAAAAATCTATGTACAAACTGTATGGATTCACACAACTTCATTTTTTACAATCACTGAGATCTGAATGCAATAACATTTGACCAGTTCAGCAAATCAGAAAGCCAGAACTACAATGGACACAACAAAATTTAAATCATATACGGTTGTTATATGAATCCCTGTTCAGTTTGGGTAATAATATCATTGGCTGTTGGTGAGGTGAGGTGAAATTGGGTTTAACGCAGTGCTTGAGAATATTTCGCTCATATGACGTGCATATGGGTGTGTATGTGTATGTGTGGCTGCTTGTACTAGCCCAGACTGAAGCTGGTTTTATAGTGCTAGCTCACTGAGATACCATGCCGCAGTGAAGCATGAATACCCCACTCAGACACAGTATACTGACTCCGAGCCGACCAGTCCTTGTTGTACCCATTAATGCTGAGTGCCAGGCAGGGACCAACAAGTACCATATTTTAACGTCTTTTTGTATGGCGCGTCGGGATCGAACCCGTGACCTTCCTCTCTCTCTAACCACGGGCGGCTCTAACCACTACACCACGGAGGCGGTCCATAGTCACTGGAGCACAAACATTGAACATGAAGAAAGTAACGAGTATGGTCAATATTGGTTCCTTACCCTACAAACAATAATAAAAGTTCTGAACTGTTAAATGGTATTGTACCATGCGTGTACATAATATAAGCCTTACCTATTTCATCTGTTCCTCCTTGGCCATTCACCTGACAGGTGTAGCCCACTTTGCCGATTGCCTCAATAAATGAGTGGGCTGATGATGTCATTCCTGCAAAATACAACATTGTTATATCATAACAACATTTCTATATCATAATTAGATGAATACATAACACTGAAAGTATAGTGACTCTCAGAATGTTTCTGTTACAAAAGCAAAAGATTCAAGGGGAACCAATAATCAAGTACCAGAAGAGGATCTCAAGGACCCCCACTAACAGATTTAATTTTGAAACATTGTCAATCTATCAGTAAAATGAATATAAGAGTAAGAGGTATCATTGCAACTACAAACTTGTTCTGTGTAGCAGAAATTCTGCATATAAAACAATATATACTGCCACATATGCAGTGCTTTACATGATTTTCTTCTATTTTAACTATGATTAATCCCACCTCTTGTTATCAATACATAGATACTAGCATCTAGTACTGGAAACATTTATACGTAACATGCCTAACTCAAGGGTTATAAAGAATAGTAAGTCAATGAAGTATTTTACCATCTTTACAACATCTGGAACAGAAGCTAACACAGTAACCATGGAAATGGACAAATCATAAATGTATTCAATAATCTTGGAAAAATACTTTCACTTAAGATGCAACTGACTAATAACGCAACATCACATTGAACATACACACTGAGTGATTTAGTGTACCACTAATGAAATGTGTCGCAGAATTATGAAACAATGACATCAGCACCCACACATACCAACAAGAGCCTTGTGGTAGGCTTTTCCAGCTGTCAATATCTGACGCACTCCATTATTGAAATTGCTGGTGATATTCTGAAAAGAAAATATAATCTAGATGTAACAATATCCTACATAGGACTGATAGAGGAACAGCATACTATTACACAGATTACCAGGGACCTAGATTAGCAATCCTTCCTTCTGTTGACAGCATTATAAATAGTGTTTGAGTGAGTGAGTGAGTTTAGTTTTACACCGCTAATAGCAATATTCCAGCAATATCACGGCGGGGGACACCAGAAATGGGCTTCACACATTGTATCCATGTGGGAATCGATCCCGGGTCTTCGCCATGACGAGCAAATGCTTTAACCACTAGACTACCCAACCGCCAAGTGTTTGAGATTATGAGTATGAGAAGTTAGTTACCCAAAACCATTGCTTAATTCTTTTAGGGCTGAGACAAGGGCCTCACATACCATGTACATTTCAATCTAAATTTACAACAAATTTAACACTAACAGTTAAGTGAATTTCAAGATTTCAGAGACGTTTCCCTATTTAACATAATGATCAAAAGAATGTAATCTGGGGATCAAAAGGGGAACATGTCAGAATGGATAATTTAGGGAACATGTCTAAAAAGCCATGGAGAAGTCAGAACAGACATAAAATTAATTTGTGCACATCTTCAGTACTATATTGTACATGAATAAACTGGATAAACAAAGAAAACAACTGATGACATGTTGGGTTCTTTTCTGTTATGTTATTGTTAACAATCATGTTTCTTTGTTTGTATTGATCTAGCAGGCTTTAGCATTTGTTCATCACAGCCATTTTACTTAACTATCATAACCGACAGCATTGTCACTCATAATATCAACCACTTACTTGTCTGATTAAAACTTGAATATTTACCCATTTTTACAGGTCACTGTCAAAGCAGGAACATTGTTAGAGTTGTTGAGTGCAGTGTTAAAAATCCAAAACTTTTTCTATTGTCCTATATAACTTTTTCATCATCAGCACGGTCAGAGAGTATTCAAGGTGCATCAAAATAACCTTGATATAAACCTTTAGTTTCAGGATCAAAGCTATCAAACACTCATATTTCACTTGTTTAGGATCCAGAATTTGGTTCATAATGGGGAGGGGAACATGGCTAAAAAGGATTCATTTCTTATGCCAGACTGTTTTTTCAAGCATTATGTCAGTCAACATTATAAACATACATTGGAACAGTATACTATTTATGACTGATTCTACACAGGATATATCTACAACAAGCCGACCGTAAATCATAAAACTGGGTCAAGCATGATATTGTTTGTTTTTGTTTTTTTAGACATCAGTAAAATATGTTCGTTAAATGTGTGAAAAAACACACCTGTTGCATGGAACCTGGATCAAATTCAGTTTCTATTATGATGAAAAGTAAATGGACTCACCTTATATATTGCTTCCGTGACTTTGTGAGTATCCTCGGGGTTCCACATTTTCCTTTTGATCGTTCTTGTCAGTTTCCGCTGTGACAGGTGAGCGATTGGCCACTGCTCAAGATTTTCGTCAGGTGGGCGACACTGCATACATTCGTCAATAAAAAAATTCGGAACTACTTCGATTTTCTGTCACAGAATACATCCGAGAAAGAAAAACAATTAGTTGCAGCGTTGTTTTATCACTGGATGAGCACTATCTGTCATTATCTGCTTATTGATATCAACTCCACCAAACTGACTTCGGGCACCACCCAAACTGGGGACTGGTTATTGCGGAATGATGTCAACGTGTATTAAAGTTGTTAAATATTGTTTAACAGATTAATAAATATCAAAACGTAACAAATACAATATTATAAGTAATTTAATTTTGATTGTAAGTCATCATGCTACACAGTTTATACGTACCAAAGAATATATACAAACCCTGAGAACAAAATAAATGATATCCCCCGGTCGATTGGCTTATCGCCTTTTGACTCGCGTGCGGAAGTCAAAGAAGCGCACAAACAATGCCTTTGACATCGCACTGCGTGGTTTGTGGGATGGCGTTCTTGCGAACTGTGGGCAGTTTGATGGTGGTGGTGGAATTGGGTTTAACGTCGTGCTTGAGAATATTTCGCTCATATGACGACGTGCATGCGTGTGTATGTGTATGTGCGGCTGCTTGTACTAGCCCAGACTGAAGCTGGTTTTATAGTGCCAGCCCACTGAGATACCATATGCCGCAGTGAAGCCCCACTCAGACACATTATACTGACTCCGAGCCGACCAGTCCTTGATGTACCCATTAATGCCGAGCGCCAGGCAGGGACCAACAAGTACCATATTTGAACGTATTTTGGTATGACGCAGTCGGGGATCGAACCCGCACTCCGGGCGGACGCTCTAACCACTACACCACGGAGGCGGTCTTGGGCAGTTTGAGTACTATGTGGTCGAATAGCGTTTTATCAATATTCAACGTAGGGAAACACCACACATGGACATTGTACCAATGTTTGGAATCGAGCACTTTAAACACACGGAGCCCTACCCCACGATCGAGCTGCCTAGTAAAACTGTAGTTCACCAATAGTTTTGTAATAGGTGAAAAGTGTCTGGTCTATTTATTCAGTTTTCTCAACAGTTCTTTTAATTATCCCTTTCATATTGCATATATGTTAATAGCGTTCGGTCCATACGAATTTAAGCAACATGCTGCTTAAACGTTTCAAATGTGCGTGATGTATATTATTTCCATGCTTAGATCGCTCCATTTCATTAGTATCGTTGATGTGGCACTTAATTCCATCACCATTAAACGTTATCTTATCTTGTCATATCGTCACAGTAATATATACATGTCGTAAATGTTATTTAAGATTGTACAACCAGCGTATAAGATTTGAACAGTAATAAATCGTGAATACACAATGCCATTTCAAAAGGGGTCATATGTAACAGGTTTCTAGTACTTTCGTTAGGCTGAGTCCCATCCGGGATTCGAAATTATACACTCAGATTCAGGCACCCAGTCGCCAGCACACGATGTCAGCCATCTAACCCACGTGGAATTATAAGCCCTGGCTGAGAGGGTTAATAGGACACAGCCTGACAAAAGTAAGTAGATTTTGCATGTACTGAGAAAGCGTACAAATCGTCTTAAAAAAACACCAGTTTCACCGATTTTATGTTTTGAGGCCGCTTAATGTTAATATTGTGTCCGAAAAGGAAACTTCAAAAATATTCTAGTAGGCCTACATAAGAAATAGTCTAGTAGCTTACACGTAACTTCCTTCCGTCAGCGTTCATCAAATCTAGAAGCTCATTTGTACAGTAAATCTCCTAAATAATGCTTGGGCCTTATGGTTTCTGCAATATCCCAAACGTTGCTTGTGCCCTAGCGATCTTTGAATACTGCTCTAACAATACTATATTACTATAAACTCAAATGAATTAAAGGACCACCCGATTTTCTTTTCATTTCACTGTAATTATGAACGAATTGGAACTAAAGTAATAAGAAAGAAAATGAAGGTCTTTACTTCTATTGAGAAGGAAATGTCATTGGTTTTACGCCGCTTTTAGCAATATTCCAGCAACATCACGGCGGGGGACACCAGAAATGGGCTTCACACATTGTGCCCATGTGGGGATTCGAACCCTGGTCTTCGGCGTGGCGAGCCAACGCTTTAACGATTAGGCTACTCCACCGCCCCCCGCCTTGAGGAGTTGCAAGAGGCGACGAAAATTGAATGCGGCCATGACGGGAGACTTAGTTGATTTTGAGTCTCTGGGTAACTCAACGCTTTGGGTGTTGCTCTTGCTATCGGTCACTGGTTCGTCTGCCCCGACTGTTGCTCTGCCGGTATTTATCAGAGTTTTGTCACATATTAACGCCCTCATAAGCTTACAAATTTTGTGTGTTACGACTGATGGTTTGGATGGGGGCACATCAGTTCTATTTCATTATAAGCCGATGGGGCAACCGAGTGGTTAAAATGTTCACCCGTCACCCATAAAAGCAAGGCTCGGTACCCCTTAATTATGGGTACACATTTGTCTTATTCCAGTTTCACTCGCTCGCTCACTCACTCACTCATTCATTCAAGAAGAATTGTTGTGCTTACTGTACCCTGGACCACTGACCTCGAAGTACCGCAATAAAGTCCCATATGTCTGTAACTAGGAGACTTCTATCCGATTATCTACGGTACACCCATCTCCCCGTTCTCTTAATACTCCGTCTATAACGCAAAATGTCGTGACCCGGCAAACCTATAAAACAATGACCCCCGAGACCCATCGTTTGTGTTTACTGCAGTTGTATCAACACTCCGGGCGTGACACTCGACCTTATCTATGTCCCATAAAGGATGTAATTCCGTGACTAAGAATACACCAAGCAGACTTTACGCAATTATCGTTTTCCGCAGTGACTCATGACACGATCTTTCAACAAACACTTCAGAATGAACACGCCGAGACCATGTTTTTTCTAGTGTTTATAATCCCAATATGAAACAAACTATAGGATTTACTTGGAAAATCGCCAGATCTTCTGCATTGTATATTACCAACCAACCAAAATTATCAGTTTTGTTTGGAAACGGAATCATTTCACGAATGACAGAATAATGATTTATTCATACCTAATACTGTTATGGCCAATATATGTCCTAAAACATTAGTTGTGTATGAAGTCATGGTATGCTTGTCAGAGGAGTAAGTAAGACAATACTATTTAAAATACATTTAATATATATTTAAAGGCTGGGGCACGTTATGTTGGCAACTTCTAATTAGTCCCTCGCATGACACGTAAGTGTATCAGTATATTTAGAGAGGGTAGGACAAAATCCCAACCTGACAAATTAAAATTTCCTTGAACATTCACACCTAATACTACTCTTAAATTCGTAACCTTCTTAGTGTACCAAAAATCCATCTAATTCTAATTTAACTCCTCCCTTATTGCTCTTCAGTACTTCCATTTTGGAACACTGATAAAAGTTGTCATCATCACAGACACATTTATACAATTTATCAATGCACCCACTGGCCCTGTTACGACAACATGCTAATCATCTTATCTCATTGGCCTGTCATGAAAACATGATAATTAACTCACTGGGTTCTTGGTGAAAAAGAGTAGCAATAACATAAAACAAGGGATTTTGTCCTATGTTGGTCATTTTGATGTGGGATTTTGTCCAAAGACATTTTGTCCTATAGGATACCAGTGTGGTTAGATCGAATACCTCGTATGTCATAAATGTACCATTGTGGTTAGATCTAATACCTCGTATGTCATAAACGTACCATTGTGGTTAGATCTAATACCCCGTATGTCATAAATGTACCATTGTGGTTAGATCTAATACCTCGTATGTCATAAATGTACCATTGTGGTTAGATCTAATACCTCGTATGTCATAAACGTACCAGTGTGGTTAGATCTAATCTCTTTTATGTCATAAATGTACCATTGTGGTTAGATCTAATTCCTCGTATGTCATAAATGTACCAGTGTGGTTAGATCTAATCTCTTGTATGTCATAAATGTACCATTGTAATTGGATCTAATATTTCGTATGTCGTTCACGGCACTGTGATCAGCTCTATCCCATCGTCTGTTATTATTTCATTATTATAATTAGTTTTATCTGACGTATGTAATAAATGTAATTATGATTGGTCTTCCCTCGTATATCATAGGTGTACCCTTATAATTAGTTGTAATCTTTCGCTTGACAGGAATTGTAATAAACTCTACTCCATCCAATATAATCTATGATATATTATAGTCCTATTCCCTCTTACGTATATTAATTGTCATAAATGTTACACATAACAGTCATCCCTATTTCATACCTGCCCAATAATATATAATATAACTAGCCCAAACTCATCTTACGTCCTAAATGTAACATCATAATAGGTGATGGTTTCGTCAAGTCATATAAATGTAACCAGTAGCAACAGGTTTGCATGCATGAACCGTAGTATTTACTTGAATATATTTTAAGGTTTATGAAAACATAAACTACACAAAGCATCCAAACAACGTATATACAATTGTACTTACATCCCTGTATTCCCCTAGTTGTTTAACTGGCACAAAATAACATTCGTCTAAACATGGTGTCGTCCGATGCTTATTGGGCTATATTTACCTAGCGTTTCGATTGAAGCATTTGCTAACTTAAGGGCTGGCAGTGTGTGGCGACCTATCAGATTAATGCCTCAGTGCATGCACTCCGGGTGATAGTGGTATGTTATCTGCCGCCAAGCGGACATCCTAGCTGTATACAGAGATTCCAGTGTATCCTGACCCACTCCAGAATCGCATTACCGTAAATCATCGATTAGACGAGGCCTCGCGCGCAAAAAGGATTTATTGTGTAAATTTACCATTTTATTTTTCTCCGTAAATTTCTTTGCATTGCATAAACCGCACTTATAGATGAAACGAGATTTAAATTCCTTTACTTCAGTGACAATGTTGAGAACTTTGTGTACTTGATTATTAATTAGTATGACTGACTGACTGACTGAGTGAGTTTGGTTTTACGCCGCTTTTAGCAATATTCCAGCAACATCACGGCGCGGGACACCAGAAATGGGCTTCACCAGAAATGGGCTTCACACATTGTAGATTCTTACTATGAGCAGAGACGATATAGATGGTGGAGACAACATACCGATATGGTCTCTGATATAAGATATCTGGTGTTATAGTGTTTTGACTGAAAACGAAG